GACCCGGTCCGGTGGCGGCCTGTGTGCGTTTGGAAGCCCCGCGGCCCCCGCGCCCGGCCTGTCCTGTGCGCGTCGCTGTCCGCCGGGCTGCTCCCGACTCCCGTCCGTTCACAAGCAGCCGGCGACCAGGGAGGGCGTGTCCTCTGAGCTCCGAGAGCCGCTCTGGCAGAGGAGCTGCGTCTCAGCAGGGCTCCGTCCGAAGCACAGGGGACGGGCACCCGGCCTTGCAGTTGGCGCCCGAAGCGCACGGGGCTGAGCTGCGCCTGGGAGTGGCTGTCAGAGCTGCGCTGGCGTGTGGGACCTGCAGGGTGAGTGCCTGGTGGGGACTCCGTGGGCACAGGAGGCCAGAACGGGAGGCTTTTCTTTTCAAAACGTGTGGCAAGAGGTCAGAGATTGGGAGGGGCCATGTGACCAATTCTCTGCAGCCTTTCTGATATCACGTGGCCTCGAAGGGAAGAAATCGTATCAGAACAGGTCTCTGCGGAGCAAATGAAACTCTACCACCAACAGTAAACGTGACGTGTTGTGTGCAGGTGTCAGGAAGGGTCGGGCCCACGAAGAGTGTGGACAGAGCAGGGACTCACTCTGCCGGGGCTCCCAACGTGCCCCCGCCCCCCGCCCCCCGCTGTCCCGGGCCTTCAGGGCAACAGGCCCGGCGCCCTGCGCTGGGATGGCTTATTTAGCTCATTCGATTGCAGCAGGGACGGAGACCTGGGGTGGGATGTCTCACAAGGTGACCTGAGAGGAGAGGTGGAGGCGCCCGGCTTGGGGTGGGCGTCACTGACCGGTGGACCGAGCCCTAGTAGGGCGAATGCAGGTGGTCGTGTCTGTGCCTGCCACTCCACAGCCCTGAGAGATGCGTTTCCAAGCTGCCCGAGGACAGCCACGGCTACCGCCGCCCCCGGGGACCCGAACAAAACATCGTGATGGGGTCTCGGATTTGAGCTGAAGTGACCATGTTTATGCAACAGATTTGAGTGTTTTATCTTACAGCATTTTTGAATTCAGACAAAAGAAAAACCAATATTTGATCAAATAATGAATTTAACTATTTGATTCTGAAACAATTATTTTAATATATACTGGGTTGGCCAAAAAGTTTGTTTGGTTTTTCGGTAAGGTGGCTCCAGCAGCGCTTGACTGTCTGTCGCTTCATTTGAAACAATGTTGTCAGATGGCATTGGGGCGGCTGGCGTGTCGGCGTGCATTTAAAAAAAATCAAAATCGGTGAATTTTTGTGTAGCTGTGTTCATATTGAAGACGTAAGAAAACATGCAACATTTTCAGGATATTACGCTTTATTATTTCAAGAAAGGTAAACATGCAACTGAAACACAAAAAAACGTGAGATGTGTGCAGCGTGTGGAGAAGGTGCTGTCACTGCTCAAATGTGTCACAAGTGGTTTGTGAGGCTTCTTTCCAGGATGCTCCCCGTCAGGTGGACCAGCTGAAGCTGATAGGGCTCAAATCTCAGCATTAACTGGGAACAATCGACGTTCTTCTACGCAGGAGGTCGCCCACATACTCAAAAATATGCAAAGTCAACAAAGTCACTGGTGAAAATGAAAATATGTTCACTTTACAGAGAAGACTAAGTAGGCTTTTTGGCCAACCCAGAACAGAAACAGCTGTCCGTGCAGAGGGGACGGCCAACCACCGAGGAGGAGTTGGCCTTCCAGGGCCCATGACCCGGTCTGAGTCGCGGGATGAACGTGAGAGTTTGCACCGTGCGTGTGCCACGCCCGCGCAGCCGTTCCGTGATCGCGGACACCCCGAAACTGCTCGTCGTCCCCCCACACTTCAGCCGCGGCCCCTTCGTGCTGTGGGTCCTGTCGGAGGCGCCGCTTCCCTGCAGTTCGGGCGCCTGCGCTCGGCGTGGTGCAGGGGAGCGGTCGCCGTGGCCGCACAGGTTACTTGGCTCTGGAGCCCAGAGGCCGGGTCTCCTACTTGAGGTGCGGCACAAGGAACGCAGAGGGCGGGACGGGGGCTCCGGCAGCACCCGGACGCCAGGGCCTGTGGGACGGGGCCTCCGGGGCAGGCCTGGCTGCAGGAGGGGCCCAGGCCGAGCCCCCGCCCCGGCCGGGACTCGCTCTAGCCTCCCGGTGTCTGCTCTTGGTCGGGGACGAGAAGGTCAACGTGGCCTCTCTCCTCGCGGGGACGGCGGGAATCTGCCGGAACGCCCAGGGCCTTCATGCTGCGGCGGCGGCGGCTTTGAGTGTTGTCTGCTGCTGGGTGTTTGCTCTGAGCCCCAGTGGCACCATGTGCTTGCCAGCTGGGTCACCTCTGTTCTCAGGGGGTCTCTGCGGCACCCCCACCTCCCAGACCCCAGCTCCCAGAACCCAACCCCAAACCAATGAGTCACTGTTTCCAAGCGGCTGCTCTGCCCACATGGGATTATTTGTGTGTTGTGTGAGGTGGTTGCCTAGGCGGCTTTTATTTTCAGTAACCACGGGTTTTGTTGTTTCTTGATTTTGTGGATGGTAAAAAGAAAGCAGTTTTGGATTCTGTGTGGCCAAGTCATCTTTAAAACCCCCAGTATAATAACTCCCCGTGAGACGCAGCAGAGACCCTGCACAGATATACGGTGCGGCTGGAGCTGGTGCACAGGGCCACCTCCTAGCTGAGCCCCACACCCCAGGGCCCGCGATCGCCCCGAACCCGAAGAAGCCTCTCGCAAGGCACGATGGTGACCAACGGACCAACCCTGTGAAACGGCCGGGCTCGCAGGCCGACGGCGCACAGAGCGGCAGGTGGGCAGGGCGGCCCTTCCTCACGCTGTGAAGCCTGCTCGGTCCTGGGTCCGAGTACGGGCCGCGTCAGCAACGCCACCCCGTCCAGCCTGCCTTCGTGCGGCTGCCGGCTCTTCCCGGCTACCAGGTGTCGACACTGAATTGTCTGGAAAATCAGCGCTCTGGTTCCTGAACTCACCCTTTCTTGTGCCAGTTTTAAAACAGGCAACAGGGGTTCTGCTTTTTTGCATTTCCTCCTCCGAGACCGGCGCTGAGACAGGGTGCCATCGACAAGCCGCCCATTGACCGGGCCTCCCGGAAAACGAGGCCGGTTCTCCCCCTCCGTCCGCGCGCAGCCGCTGCGCGTGCCGGCGGGACGGCCGGCTCTGTGCCTGGGCTGGACCGGCCGCAGGTGCCGGGGGGACGCAAGCCAAGCGCCGGGTGTGTGTCAGGTGTGCAGGCACAGACGTCGTATTCGAGGCGGTGACCTGATGCCTCCCCAATTCCGGGGGCCTCGTCCAAGTCGGGGAGGCCCGGCAGAAATAGCGGCCGTCCGCCCCCGTGCGAGGACCCTGGGCGGCCGCCTTGAGCTGGGCCGCCGGCCGGCCCCTCCCTGCCGTTAGACCCCCACGGAGACACCGGCTCTCCGGGTCTCCGGGTCTCCGGGTCACCGGCTGCGGGTCGAGGGCCTTACCAGACTCCAGACACGGGCTCAGTCCTCACAGTGACGCTCTCTCTGTGGAAAACCTGACTAGTACCCCCAGGAGCTGGCAGAGCCCCGGAGGCGTCGCAAAGGGTCGGGGCCTCTTCAGTTCGGTCACTTTGGCCCGAGGAGCCGGCACAGGGGTCCCAACGCCAGCGTCCCCAGCGTCAGCAGCACCCAAGGGCGATGCAAGGGAGGGGGAGGGGGCTTGGCTTTTGACTGTTGCCACAGGAACACGGGACCCGTGTGGCAGAACCTTATCATTTTTCAAATGCATTAAGCCAGAGATCCTGACTTTTATATGAAATACCCAATTTTAAAATGTTGGCAGAAGTTAAAAGAAAAGCTAACAGCATTTTTAACTCCCGTCGCCGAGGCAGAACCTTTGAGAGGCAGGTCCCGAGGGAAGGGGGAGCCGCGGCTCCGGCCGAGGCGGCTTCCGGGCGCCGGCTGCGCGTGACCGGGAGCGGGGACAGGCATGCTGCCGCCCTCTGGGCCCGGGGACGCGTCCGGCACGGTCACGTCCATCACCATCTTTTCATGTGTCCTCACGTTCCCTGACGAACTAGACCCTGGAAGCGGAAAAGGTCCTCGAAGTTGCGGAACTTTGTTGAACGAAAGCACCGAAGGCTGTGGTGCTCGGGCTCCCCCGCCATCACGCGTCGTTCCCTCAGGCCTGCGGATCCCTGGAGAGTTTCCCTGGAACCCGCTGGCCGGGCCAGGTCGGGTTTCCGCCGCCAGCGGGAGGCCTGCCCCCAGTGCCTCTCCTCCCGCTGACGGGGGGCGGGGGGGGGGCCGGGCCTGCCCCAGGAGTGCGGGCCGGCACAGGGGCAGCTCACGGCACGGCTCTGCCCCGACAACCCCCGGGCGGGGCTTTGGGCCCCACGTGAGAGCCACTGCGGCGGCTGCTCCGCCCAGGCCCCGGCGCTCACGGCACCTTTGCGCTGAGGCTCTTTCTCATCTCGCGCCCATGGAAACGGGGGCTGCGCGGGAGGCGGCGTGTGTGGCACACAGGCCGCAGCCGCGGTCCTGGGGCCCCGCTTCCGGCACGGCCGCCGTCTCCCCGCCTGGCCTGCATGCGGCTCAGGTGCGAGCGCAGCTGGGGCCCCAGACACACCGCAGGGCGGAGGCCGGCAGGAGAGGGCCGGCAGGGCTTCCTGGGGGCTGGGCGGCCGCAGGCGAGGTCGGGAGGGCCTGGGTTCTACCGCACGGGTAGGGCCTGGGTTGAAAAAGGGAGGAACATCCTGGAACAAACCCAGAGGTGTGTGCGGCTTCAGGAACCGAAAGGGAGCTGAGCGCCGCAGACACCTGCGGTCAAGCCGCGCGCAGCCGGGCGGGCCGGGGTCCGATGCGGGTCACCGCGGGCCCTGCGGCCCTGAGCAGGATGGGGCAGCGATGTCTTTGACTACTTGGCTTTCACGGCAGTTTTGTTCACCCAGAAAGTTAAACTGCGTCACCAGGGCAGACAGGCCTCGAAGGCGGGGACCTAAGAGGACCAGAGCCGGGCGCGGGTCCTCGGCCATAAGGACCTGCTCCTGAGAAAGGGAGACAGACACACTGTCGGCAGAAATCACAAATTTATTAACTCTTAAATATATCAATCAGTCATTTACCATTATGGCAAGAAATATGTACAGTGTCCCGTGGTGAACTGCAGAAGGTGACGGACGTGAACCCCGCCGCGGGGAGCGAGCGCGTAGCCGGCACCTCGGTGCGGGGTGGGCAGGGCCACGGCGACCCGTCAACACGACAGGCTCGGTTCCGAGTGCCAGACAACCACGGGACGCCTATTGTTTAAACACATGTACGCCACGTGCAGCCATTTCACAGAAAAGTGAAAGAAATTAACAAGGAGAAAGGAGGCTGTTACTTCACAGATTTCATTGGCAGGTCAACATGGCTCAATACATTTACTGTATATGTTTAGTTTAAATATGTATTGTTTTAAATCATGTAGCAATTATCAGAAAAGCTTCAATCTGTCTACCGTACATCCACTAGCAACGATACCTAAGTGATGCGCCGTGAACACAGGAGGTGCAACGGGAGGGCAGGGACGCGCGCGTGTCGTTTCTGCCGTCAGCGCAGGCTTGGGGGCGCGCGTCGCCGTGGGAGCAGCGGGGGGCCCAGGGGCGCAGACACGGCAGGGCCCCAGCACTCCCCGGCTTTCCCGGGAACTGGGGAACCCCAACTCCTCTCGGGGACGCGCTGTTGCTCGGACAAAAGGAGACGCTGAGAAGCACACGTCACAACACTTAAGTTCAGACACGGGGCAGGGCGTGGAGATGCCCGTGGCCCCTCTCGCTCCAGAAACGCGGCCGTGTGCGGGCGCCCGGCCCCGGTGGCTGCGGCACAAGCCCGTCACGGGACGGGGCCTCGGCCGCCACCGATCCCCACCGCGGGCCCTGTGTGCTCCCGGCTCCCGGTGAAGGGAAGCCCTGCGCAGCCCCGACCGAGCGGCCGAAGGGCGCGCTCGAACCGCGGGCCGGCGGCCGCTTACTCCGCTTCATCACGCGGGCGGCACCCTTCCCCCTCACGATCGGACAGGAGAAAAGTAAAGAGGAGAATGGGGAAAAAGCTAGGAAAAAATGGGGTAAAATGAAGAAAACAGCAGGCTTGAGAGACACAAAACTCAGTCCCAAGTGCTCCCCAGCGCAGAACCAGCACCCGCAAGCGATCGCACTCGGGCGTGACGCGAGCTTTCCGCCTGCAGTGAGGCCCGAATGCGGCGGCTCCCGCGGCCGCTCTGGCGGCTGCGCATTCAGGTCCAACGCTGCCTCAGCCGGGGTCACGCCAGGAAGCAGAACGCGCCGTTGCCCTTATTGTTAAACAAGCCAACACAGATTAATAGCGAAGAGTTTTTAAAAATTTACACTTTCCTTACATGCCGTCCTCAGGAGAACAGCCACGGGAGTCTGTCCAATCTTGGCATCGACAGCAGAGAGGGGCAGGCTGGGGGGTCGCGGCCTGGGCGGCCCCCGCGGCCTGCACGGCGCTCGCTCCGCGGTGAGGCGTGAACGCGGACAGGAGGGTGACGGCGAGGCGAGACGCGCGTCCCGCGGGCACCAGGTCCGGCCTTCACGCCTCACGCCCTCCCGCAGGCGGGGTGGCCCGGTCCCGTCCCGGGGCCTGGAGGCACGGTGCCGACGTGGCCCTGTGGACACTTAGCTGCGGACGAAGGAGAAGGAGACGCCAATTAGAACAGCCGCAGCAGAGAGCGGGCTGCGGGCTCCTGAGTCAGCGGGAGGCGGGCGAGAAGGCCGAGGCCGAGCGAGCTGAGCCTGCGACCTTCGCGAGGCAAACTGTTGGGGGAGGCGGCGGTGACACAGGAGGCAGCCTGAGCTGTCCGTCTGTCCACACGGTGCCAAGCTGTAGACGGACCGGGACCACGCTTCAAACAGGTTATTACTATAAACCCAAGTGCATGGGGAAGCTGGCAGATTAATAACGTTCACCAGCAAATTCGCGACGAACACTGTCACTTGGTGGAAACGGCCAAGGTCGGCCCTGGCTTCTGACACCACTCTCAGCGCCGAGGGGACAAGGGGCAAGGGGCGCGGCCGGACGCGGGGAGGCGTGGACGGCAGCTCTCGTCCAGACACGCTGCCGGGCGCTCCGCCCCCCGGGGCTCCAGCAGGGGGCTCACCACGGAGCCGCACAGACCGGGCCGCAGCCCCGGAAGAAGCAGACAGACAACGGCAGCCCCGCGCTGAACCTCGGTCCACTTTCGATCCCCCGCTGCCCCCTGCTGGCTGAGCCTGAAGTTGCAGGCGCACTGAGGGACACACCAGCCTTGGCTGGCGCCTCCTGGGACCCGGCAGGATGCAGCGGGGGCCCAGAGCCGGCCCAGCGAGGTGGGGTGGCCCGAGCTGTGCAGCTCAGCGGCCGGACCGCGAGGACGCCCACGGGGCCGCAGGCTGCGCGGCAGGACTCGCAACGCTGGCCTCGCGCTCGTGTGAAGATGCTGGGAGCTCAGGCCTGTGCTGGCTTCCAGTGACTGTGCAGCAGGAGAAACCACCCTCAAGGGGAAGGGAAACGGCCCGTGGCTCTCCAGTCAGCCCTCAGACCCCGAGGCGCCGCGGGCAGGGTGCTACTTGTAAGACCCCAGAAAAGTGGCTTTCGCGCCTTAGATGTCCTGCCGCATCTAAGAGGTGCTTCCTGACAGGCTGTCTCTGCCACTGGGGACATGGGGCGGCCTAGTGGGGGAGGCCTGCGCAGCCTCTGCGGCACAGGGGCTCTGCGCAGCGGGCTTCGCCCCGGGGACCCCAGGCCCTGCGGGGCCACCCCCGCATCCCCCGCACCCCCCTGGGGTGGCAAACGCACGGAACGGGGGTCTTCACGATCCTGCGCCTCTGGCCTTTGTCTCGCATGCAGAGCCCTTGTTTTCAGACGGAATCCCAGCCTCTCTCTGGTTTTTCCCTGTGGTCCCATCTCCACAAGCCCAGCTCTCAGTCTGCGTGGACCTGGGGAGGCCCTGGGAGCCACCGTGGTTACGGGGCCAGGGGACCGGACGGAGAGGGAGTGGGAGGGCCGCTGTGCGAGCTTTCCCTCCCGCCCCCCGGAGCGCAAGGCGTGGACCTGGCAGGACACTGGGGGGGGGGAGAGCGGGAGGGGCCCCGCCTGCCCCGAGCACATCGCCCTCCTGCCCCTCAGCGCCCGCGGTCCCTGGGCCCCTTGTGGTGCCGGCACCAGGCCCCCGCCAACGCCGCGCCCGCCCCCCACCCAGGGGCCGCTCCTGAGGCCGCAGGGCCCATGAGTCACAGCTCCGTGAGGCTGCACGCGCTGTGCCCTGCCGGCCGCTCGCCCTGCCCCACTCGGAGGCCAACGGTGACCTTTGCTGCGCGGCCTCCCTCTGGCCTGGGAGCTACGCTGCCTTGCAAGCTAGAGCGGCAGGCGCCGCGCGGTTCAGTGGGCGCGGCGTGCGCCCCGATGGCGGGCTGTGGGGACAGACCCCGACCCCAACGTCGGCCCTTCCCGTGCCGCGCCTTGCACACCGCCCCGGACGCCAGGGACGCAGGCCCCGGCGCTGCACTGGCCGCTGCCCACGCCCCCTCGTTCTTCCCTCCCGCCGCCCTTCCCGCCGCGGAGCGTGACAGTGACGTCCCCGTCTGTCCTTGTCCGCGAAGCCCCCACTCAACCCCGAGGGCGCTTGGCCGGGTCGCGTCCCCCACGCTCCCGGCTAGGACCACAGGGGATTGCTGTCGCGGGGCGGCAGCCCACGCGGTGCCGGTCGGGCCGCGCTGCCCGGCGCCTGCCCCCGTGCGAGCGGGGCTGGGGGACACCTACTTGGTGGGCACCGTGGGCGACCCCGAGCGGTGGAAGTGCACGTTCTGCCACTTGCCGTCGCGGCGGTGCCACACGCGGGTCTCCTCGGACTGCATGGTCCTGGGCAGGCCGCCGCCGTCCAGGTACTGCGTGAGCCGCACGTAGGCGATGCAGGCGGCGTCCTCGCCCACCAGGTGCACGTGCGGGTTCAGGATGATGGTGTGCACCGGCTTGCTGCTCTTGGACAGCGCTGCGGGAGAGCAGAGCGAGAGGTGAGCCCCGTGCGGAGGGAACCGGACCCGGCCCCGTCGGCGGGGGTCTAGGAGCGAGCTGCCCTCGGCTCCCACCCCCCCGCCCTGCACTGCCAGGCGCCGGGCCCGGCAGGGAGACGGAGGGGAAGGCGGGCGCGGGCACTGCTCCCTCCGGTGCCCTTGGCAGACAAGGCCCTGGGAGGCCGGCTGGTGGGGAAGGCGGGACGGAGGTGTTTCTGTCCTGGGAAGTGGTGGCCAACAAGCTGTGCCACATGGGCAGTTCCTGCCTTTCCAGTGAGGGAGCCGCCGGGGTGGCTGAGAGGGTCCCATGGTCGTTTGCTCCTGGTGGTGACAGATGTGGGGCCGGATGTGGGACAAGGGCAAAGTACCGAGAGCCCGGGGAGACGCTGCCCCTGGAGGAGAGGCGGCCGCGCCTGAGTGTGCACCTGTCGCCCCGTGGCCCCTTCCGCAGCGGAGCCCACGCCGTCAGAGCCTCGTTGGCCTCATGCGGTCAGAACCCCAAGTCCTGCGCAGCCGGGGGGGGCCAGGGCCGGGCAGCCCAGGGGTCCGGCCTGTGCCGCTTTGACACAAGCGGCCCGCCCTTGTTCCTCCAGGACTGAGGGTCGGCGAGTCCGAGCAGAGGACGCGTGGTGCTCTCGTGGGTCACCCAGCGGTGAGCCGTGTGACCTCTGGAGCAAACCTGCTTCCCGTCCGCAGAGAAGGTCTGAGCGCTTCGTCAGCGTCGGCTGCAAAGAACGCCCAGCGTGGGGAGCGTCTACTCAGGCAGCGACCGCAGCGTGCGCTGCATCAGTCGAAGGATGGGCGGGCGGCCGCCGGCGCGTGCGGGGCAGTGGGTGGGAGGGCACCTCGCAGCGTCTGCTCTGGCCGGACGGGGCGATGACCTTCGTGTGCTCGCAGATGCCCAGTGCCCGGGAGAAAAACTGATTCCCTCAACTGAAGACCCCATGCCCAGGCAGGCGTTCCGTCGCTGAGCACATCACGGATGTGAGTCAGGGACCTTGCTCCCCCCGGCCGTCGCCTCTTTCCCAAGCCCCACCCAGGGCCACACTGCGCCTCTGACCGCACGTCCACATGTCTGTCCCTGCGAGGACAGGGCGGGGGCAAAGGGCTGCTGGCCCACACTGTGCTCGGTGGCCCGAGCGTTTCTGTGGCAGCTTGTTCCGTCACTGTCCTGGGAACGCGGCTCCCTCCACAGCGGTCGAAACGCGCCCTTGGAGCGGGCGGGCGGGCCGCCCTGCTGCCAAGCGCGGGCGAGCTCGGGAGCGCCTCCCTGCGGGCCGTGGCTCGCCGCGACTGCTTTCATGCCGTTGTGTCAGGGAAACTGAACACATTTTTTTTGGTGACTCATTTTGTGGCTCATATCACACCTTTACTGGGACTTCTTTGGGTGCAGTCCATCAACATTACTTTTTATACAAAATCAGATATTTTTTCAAAGCACACCAACACTTTTAACCCTGTTGATATTTTTCAATTTCAAATGTTAAAAGTTCTCATTGCATAAAAGAGCCAAAGAATCAGCAAACTGCGGAGCTATTCAAAGAGAAGTTGGAAAAGGCATGTTATTAAATTTAGAGTAAATGTACCATTTTCAAAGTAGAATCGATGAAAGTCCATTCCTTCCACTAAATTGCCCAAAGCTTCAGGTTCAAAAGCCGTAAGGCCTGGGTCACAGATTTTTCTGTAGGGGAAACAAACAAACACACACGATCACTAAAAGGGCTAACGTGTTTGGTTGTCCCGCAGACATCCCTCCGGGCTCCCCCAACAGTCAGCGAGGAAGAGAGTCTCCGAAACCACGGAAACGCGCGGTCTCTGTCACCCGCCCTGGCCGGCCTCCCCGAGGGCGGCCCTGCGCTGCCCCGGTGAGCCTGGGGGCCCCCCTGTTTTCTCACTCTCGACTGAACCTTATTATTTTTCAGACGCGGCCCAAGTCCAAGTCCTCTCCGAACCCCATGGAGCCAACGCTGGCTCCGAAGCGAAGCGAAGCGCTTCTGGAACGGTCTTTGACGCGTCCTACACTGCACGCGCGAGCCTGCGTTACGTTCCGACAGAGCGGACGTCCCATCTGCCACTTCCTGGCAACGTTCCCGAGCTCAATTATCTTGTGGCTAAAGTTTATTTAACTTCTAAAATAAACGTAATAAGCCGTTTAAATGCACGTGAGTTTTCTTTTCAATCCTCGAAATACGATTAAACAAAGAACTACACCATTTCAAATCCATCTTCATAGAAAGCCAAGGGGCTTCCTTTGCATAAACTTATTCAGCAAAGAACTGTTAAACACCTATTTTATGGCAAATATTCTTTGAAGCAAACAATTGTAACACAACAGTTAATCCCGGACTAGAAAGAAGCGCCGCGCCCCCGAGCAGGCCGCGCCCAGCCACCCAGGGCGGCTCCTCCCAGCCGGCGACCTCCGGTCTGGGTGGAAGGAGGCGCCGCCCGCAGAGCGGGCAGCGAGGGCGAGTGCAGGGATCGCACTGCGCCGGGTCGGCCTCCGAATTTCACTCAGAAATTCCCTGTTTGGGAGGAACGCTTTTCTACAGCTCGACAGAAACACAATCTTCAAAAGGCTCACTTGCTGGTTCATAGAATGTGGGACTGAGGTGTTTTTTAAACTTTTAAAGCAGAACATACTTGTACATAAAAAGTCACAGCGGTTACTCTGTGGCAGAGAAAGCCTCCAAGGGGGTGGGGCGGATGGGGTTTCAGACTTCCCCTCGGGCTCTCTGGGGGCCGCTATTTTTAAGCTCAAACTCCAATGCACACAACCTCTTTCCGAGGCACAAACTGGGAGAAACGGTGTCCCCATGGCAACAGGAGGCGGCTCCACAGGGGCAGGGCCGCCTCTGTCGTCTGCGCCCGAGCTGCCTGCGCCGCTGCAGGGCTTTCCGCCGCCCCCAGGAAGCCACGGCTGGGAGCCCCGTGCCGGCTCCTCCTCACGCACGCACCCCAGCCCCGGGATGGGCTCTGTACCCACGGCGGCTCCCGGGGCTGCCCTGGGCCCGCGCACCCTGGATAGGGCTCTCGGGACCGGCGGCCGGCGGCACAGCCCGGCTGGCCGCGCACCACAGGACAGGCTAGGGCATCAGTGGCCGGGGCGGTTGCAGGGAATTGCGTCGTTTGAAACACCCCCCTTTCCGCTGTCTGAGCACACGGGAGGTGCTACGCTTTGCCCCTTTTGCCTGCTTACTGCCAGCAACAAAACATGCTTGTGCCATTCCACGGGGACACTACTGGAAACGAGGTTTAAAGAAAACACCGTTCTTGTGCCTGGAGAGCCCCCTGGGTAGCACAGAGTCACACCTGCGATGCTACCGGTAGCCGCTGCAGGCCCCGCGCGCGCCCTCCCGGCCCCGGACAGAAGCGCGGCAGGGGCGCGCACCCCCACGCGACCGCACTCAGGAGCCGCCCTGGGCTTGGTTCAGACGCACAGTCTCTCTCCCGCATGTTCTATACGTGGCCGTGTGCAGCCCACGGGGGGCGGGGAGGGTTCCCCCTTCTAATGCCAAGAAACCAACAGGGAACGGCCCCGTGTGCTCTCCGCAGGCCACGTCCCTTCTTCCTGCTCCTGCCTCGTGGCGACCGTGGGACGCGGACGCTGTTTCCGGTTTCCCCGACAGCACTCTCGCTCCGATGAACACCTCTGCTCACCAGCTCTGTCCACGCTGTAGACTCAAAGCCCACAGCCACACTGTGTTTCGATCAGCAGCACCAGAGGCCTGCAGCCACGCGCCCCCCGACGCGCCTGCCGCCCGCCCGCCCCAGCCGGCGCCCCAGCCCCCCTTCCTGCTTCCCAATCCCCTCCCCAGACGGGCGCTCCCGCGGGCTGTCTGTCTCTCGGTCTCCTTTCCGCTGGTGGCCTCGTCACTCTGGCTTCTCACCGCGACTCCGCCTCCACTCCGAACCCCAGAGACCAGCCCCACCTCCCGCATTTTCCGCCTTTTACTCGCGGGGAGCCAGCTGTGGGCACGGGGCGCCGAGCCGCACACGTGTGGACAGGGAGGCGGTGCTGAAGGGGAGCTGGGGCCCTCCCCCTGCGCCCCTGACGAGGACGACAAGGACACTTCCGCGTCGACGCGTCCTCAGCGCTTCCAGTCCCGTGTCTGCACAGAGGCGCGCCGGCCACACCGCCACGCACCGACACAAACCCTAGTCCTACCTGAAGCCCCCTGGCTCACTGAAGCGCTGAATATTTTTATTTCTGTCCTGGGGCACCTAAGTCCTTTATCCCCCGAAATAAAGCTGCTGCTGACATGCCAAACCTGGGGTCAAACACATGAATCCAGTGCCCCGGAGACGGTATCCACACAGGAAACACCACCATGTGTGCAGAGCGCATTCACAGGCGTGTACTCACGTGTACGCTTCGAAGTCTCCGTTGTTGATGGCTTCGATCAGCTGCTCGGTGACTTTGATGATCTCTTGCTTCCGTGCTGAAGGCAAAGGTGCAGAGTCGGTGAGACAGAGGGCAAAGCCACAAACCGCGTCACGCGATGACATTCCGCTGAGACGGCAGCTGTCCCAGCCCGTCCCTCGTGGGCGCGGCTGCTACCCCGCCACCAAACCGCGCCCACAGTGGCCAGGCCCCCCTGGGCCGGCCCTTCCTGAGCCTGTGGGACCCGCCCCGCCCAGCGCCCTCTGGGGAGCCCAGGGCTGGTGCTGCCGGCTGGACACCAGCCGCCCGAAGGCCCAGGCTCTGTTTTTAACTAGTGCTGATGACCTGTGACAGCACGGTCACTTATCCACGTGCCTGCATGTTCACCGTCCCCTCCACCAGCTGCACGAGAGGGCGCCCGCCCCGTAGCTGCCGCCGTCCAGCCCCGAGGCCTCCAGTAAACCGTGGCTCAGCGCGTGGCCGTGGGCGGCCGCTCAGCCCGACGTCCCCACAGGCCGTCAGCGCCAATACTGTGGGGACGCGCCTGCGGACGTCCACGGCAGGAACCACGTGGCGGCCGCGCACCGCGCTGCACGGCCGCTGCAGCTGGCGGGGCTCCCCCCGCCCCCCGTGGGCAGCCCCCTCTCCGCCCACCGCCCAGGCGCCGCCCTGCAGTGCCCTCACGCGGCACCCACGATGGGCTGTGCCCACGGCCTCCGCTTCGTGCGGCCAAGCGGCCACCCACGCGGCCTGTCACCACGCTCTGCTCACGGTGCAGCCTGTCCTCCTCCTCCAGGCAGAGGCTCCGGGTGGGCGACGCGTGTGGATAACGTGTCCTGGCTGTGTGTCCTCTAGACAGTTGTATCCACCGCGTGCGATAATATGAACGCTAAGTAACTCCGTCAATTTCATCACTTGATGTTAATAACCTTTTCCTGCTTTCAGAGGACTGTTCTCTCACTAAGGAAATTGACGGGTAAAATATTTGTAAAGGTGCGTGCCACTGACTTTTATCTCGAGAACCCTGGGTGCTTCTCAGATCGCCGGCGGCGACCTGGGGGGGCCACAGGGCCGCTCGCCCCACTTCCCAGGGGGAGTTTGCTTCCCATTGGGTTTTACTTCATTATCGATTAAAGGCAACCAGTTTGCACGTTTGGTGAATCTGATCTTCATTAAGAAGATTTTGTACCGTGGACTGAAGTGTTTGCATTCACGTCCACAGCTCGATGTCAGCCAGGGCACGGTGCCCTCGTTTAAAATAGACATCTGGAAACCCAACTTGAGTTCGCCGACATTGCAAGACAACTTTATAAAATTACGACGTCCATAAAAAGGTTACTAGACATGTGAAGGCCAATAATCCAAAAAAATCACCGCACGGGTTCGCTTAGAGGAAACCAGGAGCAGGTTCCCCAGCTGCTCCCTCGCCCACTGCCGGGCGACGGCCACACGCTCCGCCCCGACCGGGTGAGGCGGCCGGGGACTCGCCTGCGTGGCCGCTGAAGTGACACTTGGCGGCCGCCTGTGACACCTGGCCCAGTCCCAGGGCACAGAGGATGCCTCGGAGGGATCAGGAGACAGGGACACCCCAAACTGCCCCCTCCTATTCAGTCCCGTTTAAGTCAAATAGACACCTGAGTTTGCTGTGGCATTAGGGAAAATCTACAACTTTGAAAACACACTGATTTTTAAAACGAGTAACGAGTCAGAAAACCAGGAACATCAGGCCACAGGTCGCTGCCCCCCGCGCATTCTGCCTCCAGGGTCCCTTCCGCTGCACGGGACGCACTGGCTGCCACTGCCACGCGCCTCTGCTCGCCCGGGGCCTCCAGCCTGGGCGGCGGCGACGTCCCCGCTCCGCCGGCCCAGCCAGGCGGGGCCCCGCATCCTCTGGGACGCCCTCCCCAGTCTCTCAAGGCCTGGGGACGCTGCCTTCCTGCATCGGACCCAGTGGTCGCGTCTGCCCTTGCCCGTCTCCTGGCAGGAGCGCAGCCCTCGCCGCCCGAGTACGGAGGCCCCGATGCTCCTTCCTGGCAGCGGCCCCATCCTCGCCCCGCTTTCTTCTATCAGCTGCGATCGCTCCCGACAGCATCCCCGGCCCCCGCGGTGGGAGCGGCCCCGCGCTGTGCGCTCACACAGCACGCTGCGCCTGCGGCGCAAAAGCACTCGTCAGTCACGCTCCTGCCGCACGTGCGCCCGCGAATGCGGGGGGTCGGTTGGCTCCGCGGCTCCGCGCGCTGCGGAGCAGGGGCCCTGAGCGCAGGCAGAGTCCGCGGCACACAGAGGACGTCCGGGAAGCACCGGGATGGGAGGGCCCGGAGCCGCCCCGGCGCGCCGGCTCCCGGCTCCCTGGCCTGCGCCGCAGGCCGCATGCTCTGGTGGTGATGGTCAGAGAGCGCGGGAAACGCTGCGCCGGCTCGTGCGGACGCCACAAGCAGCCTGGCCCCTGTCCACCAGCAGCGGGAGAGCGAACACGCCCCGCGGCCCACGCCTCTCTCTCTGCCGCTGCTTTTCTAATGGAACCGGCATTTTGCTGCTCCTCGGGCGCTCGGCCTGGCCCCTGCCCGCTGCCCCCACCTCGTGCCCCGGGCTGCCGCCCTCCTGCTTGCAGCGTCCTCCAGCCCCGTCACGGGGACATTTGCTGGGTGCTGCTCAGTCTCCCACGACTCCCTGTGCCCGTCCCTGGTGGCCTCAGGTGCCCCTCTCGCTCTGGCCGCATGCACTGCCCTCTGAGGGCCGCCGTGGCTGCAGCGGCCCTGGGCTTTGAGCGTGCGTTTCTACACGCGGCCCGAACCTGCCCGGCCGCCCGGCACTCGCCCAGGGGGCCTGAGATGGGCTCCTGCACCTTCCGCACCTTGCACATCAGGCCGCCGAGGCCGGCCGGCGGCCGCCGCCTCTCCCCCACGCCTCTGCACGCACCCCCGTCCTCCGCGGGCCGCTTCTTGCTCTCCGGTTACTCGCTCCCCGAGTTCCGGGCCCACCGTCCAGCTCCAGGCCCCTCGGCCTTCAGCGCCGCAGACCCCGCCCTGGGACAGCAACCTGGCGGCCTGCCAGCGTCCCGCCGGCGACTGCCCGCCTGCCTCTCGCTTCCCCGCTGCCCGGAGCCCCTCTCCTGAGGAGGCGCCTTCACGCCCGGCCCCCGGGTTGCCCTCTGAGAGCTCCAGACACGGCCATCTGATGCCACTGTGGTCCCTGCCACAGAGGCAGCCCGGAGATGCCCCGCGGCCGAGGGCCCGCACGCCCGAGCGTGTGCTGCAACTCCGAGGGGCCCCGCAGGCGGGGGCTCCATGGCTGCCGGGGGAGGCGCCCCGCGTGCCGCACGCGCAGGAACGTTCCCGGCTGTCGCCTGCAACCCGCCCAGACCCGTCCTGCTTCACGGCCTCCCTCCACCCCGTCTACGGTCACGTCCGACATCTCTCTTCCCCGGACCCGTGGGTGGAGGCGCCCGCCGGCCCCGGGGCCTGTCCTTCTCTGGCTGGCACGCGGCCCCAGCCACTGGTGTTCAGGACGACTTCCAGCCTCACAGGTTTCTGTTTAACAGGATGCTCACCAGTCTGACCAGGACTGGACCAGTGTCTACCTTCAGCGCCTGGGACCGCGTGAACGTCTGTCACCGCGTGCCCACAGAGCGAAAACGAGGGACGAGACACACGCTGGGTGCGCCCTGGGAAACACCCGCTCAATGCCAAATGTGTGGGGCGGGCGGGCGGCCAGGCCTGGCGCCCTGGGTGTGGCCGCGTTTCCTGGGAGCCCCCGCGGCTCGTGCGGTCTCAGGAGCGGCAGAAGGACCCCCGTGTGCGAGGCCGCAGTGTCGCAGGCGCCAGAGGAGGCCCAGTGAGGCGCCCACACAGGTCCGGCAAGACAGGCTGGGCGTGTAGAGTCCGTGTGACACCTGCTTCTTCCCGACAGAGCTGGATACAGGGAAGGTCCCCGCTGCCCGAGCGGCCAGTCCCGACGTGGGACTTGCCGGTTTGCTGAGCTCCCTGGTGGGCTTCCTCGGGTCTGCGGTGCAGTCGGGCCGCAGGCCAGCCGGCCCGGCCCGCGCACACCCACCGTCACCGGGACGTCAGCAGAGCGTCGCAGGCGGAGCTGCCCCTGACCTCAGCCTGAGGAGCTCCTCGCTCAGCCACCCAAGTTGCTCAACGGAACACAGAGGAGAGAGCTGTTGGGCTTTTCGGGGTGTATCCCCTTGGCTTAGCGAATCTGTTTCTTTGCTGTTCGTCAGTCTGCAGTTCCAGTTCATCGAACTCCCACCCTTCTGAGAGGTCTCGGGGCCTGGCAGCCAGACACGTGGCGGCCAGAGGTGAGCAGACTGGCCCGGTCGCCCAGCAACCTCGGGAGCTGGGCCAGGGCTCGAGCTTGACTTGGCTGGAGGCCGCCGGCTGGGCAGCCCCTAATCCATGTCCTTCCCAGCCCACGGTGCCTAAGCCAATATTTTGAAACCATAAACTTAACGAGCCACCTGACACGCCTCTGAACGTACTGTGCGAGGTGACTGATGACTTAATTACTGGGCCACGACTGTAATTAATGATCACGCCAGTGTCGCAGAAGCGGGCATCCCGTGGTTTGAGGGTCTTTCCATGCTGCCATTAACAAAAGTAACTCTGGGGGCAGCTACTGTCTTAGGAAAATACACAAACGAGGATCAATTTTCATGCTCTTGGCAGCTTCACAGAAAACGGCGCCGGTCAGCCCGGCTCGGTGGGGAGTGCTCTGGGCAGTCAGCAGCTCCTTTCTTACCAACTATTTTTACTTCACTCGTTTGACAAATTAGACATTTTGAAGAGTAATTTCCATTATTTTGGCTTTTAAAATCAAACCCATCAAAGATTCTGGAGTTGACTGGTTTAGTAATCTATAATATTTTGTTTAAATATAATACCAGACATTACCAAACTTCTACTTGAGGATGCTTTCAGGAAATTACAGGAAAGCTCATTTACTCAGAAGTCACCTGTTCAGTAAGCCCCCAACATTAAAAAAAAAAAAAAATTAAATTGTTGAAACCGTTTCCCCTGCGCTCCGCCCGGCGGCCATGGGGGCCGCAAGCTGCCAGCGGCTTTGGCAGCCCCGCCCAGCGCAGGGCACAGCTAGACAGGGTCCGCCGGGCGCCCCCCAGCCCTGAGCACCCTCCAGGCCGGCCACGCCGAAGCAGGCTGCCCAGCCGCTCTGTCCGAAGTGGGGGACGGGGGGCGGTATCAGGCCAGGCGCGGAGGGGCTGCAGGTGAGCAGCAGTCACCTGCGAAAGGACACCTGTGTTCTGAGGGCAGGGGCAGGTGGACCTGCGGACGGACTGGAAGCGGGGAGAGGGCGGGCCCGGCCGTGCGGAGGGGCGGGAGGGTGCGCGTTGCGGTGGATCTGCTGGTCAGACGCGTCTGAACGCGGACCCGGGAGAACCGTCGGGGACCTGAGGGCAGGAGCAACGAGCCGGACGACGGGCAGCACCGGACACTGCGTGCTCTCGGCGCCTGGGGGACGCGGCGCAGCGGTGAGGGTGAGCGCAGCGCCCGAGGGTGGGGCCCCGGCTGTGCCTGGACACCCCGCCCTCCCGCCCACAGCCGTCTCAGACACCAGGTGTGCCGGCAGCGAGGACTCTGCTCGCCCACCGACGCCCCCGACCTGGAGGCAGCCCCGCACTGACGCTCAGAGGTGGGAGGCGGGGGGTGGGGGGCGTACGGAGCCCCCCGAAGCCGAAGCCGCCAGAAGGCCGGGAGCACACAACGCGGGGAGCGCGCTGCTGCCCTGACGTCACTCACTCATTTACAGACTCGGTTTCTCCAGGGGACGCTGCAGTCACTTCTTTCTAATTCTTGCTCAAGGGAAGGTATGAAGACGAGGTAACATCTGCTTAGCGACAGATGGTCTCTCTGAATCCCCGCTGGGGGCATCGCTGCTTCTCGCCCTGACAGACAGGCTGACGGTGCAGCCAGGAAGCCACCTCCGCTCCCTGCGCTGTGGGCGAGGGGGCGCACAGACCCGCTCAGCATGCGCAGGCCGGGCGGCAGGTGGCGCAGCAGTGCCGGCCCCCCTCGCAGTTAGGCCGCAGGCAGGGCTCGCCGAGGGGGTTCTCGCTGCCCCAGGGGGCCGGCAGAGTCGGCCACCACGGCCCTCTGCGCTTCCTGAAGGCCCCGCCCCCAGCCCGAGGCCTTCCAGGGCCTGTACTCGTGGCAGGATCTCGCCGACACCCCGGAGTTGAAGCCCACAGCTACCCTGCCAGGTAAGCCAGCTCTCGGGGACGCCTCACTGACTGACGGTCACTTCGCTGCAGCTGTTCTACGTGCTTCCCTTCCGACGTCTGCTTTAAACATCCCTACAGCCACCGCGCTTCCACGGACCGGCTCGGAGACAAGGAGCCTGTGGAAACTGCAGTTGTTAGGAACTACAAAGCAAGAGCGAGGGTGCAAACTGGGGGCCACAGGTGAGCCCCTCCACGGCAGCCACGCCCAGAGAGCAGGGTGCTGAGGGCGCGCGTTCTGCGGGGACACGCGCGCGGCCGACGGGCTTGGGCTTCTGCACCGGGGGAGGAGAACATATCAGGGAAGCGCAAGACAAAAACGCTGCCCGTGCAAATCCGGTGGGCGCCACTGTCAGCCTAAAAGCAGCTGCCCGGGTCCGTCCTCGAACGGAAACCGCTTCCTGGGGAGCGTAATGGACGAACACAACACACACCCGCTGCAGGGCTGCCAAGGACGGACTCAGTCGCAGCGTGGCACGGTGCGTCCACGCCGCCACGGCTGCTTAAAGCCGCAGCGGGCTTCACCAGCCCCTCTGGTCTGTGTTTTAAAAACACGGAAAAGAACATCGTGTTTCAAAACACAGAAAAAAACCTGACAAGACCCATAAATATAATCCAAATACCAACAAAACACTAATGAAAACTGTCTCGAGCCCTCGGGCAGGCCTCGTGCCTCAGTGCGTGGCTCCCTTGGAGCGCGCGCTTCTCTGATGCACAGGGAAGTCTGCGGCCCCACCGTACCTTTCACGTCCTCGTCCTCGATCGTGGTGTTGGAACTCTCCGTGGACTCCTGCCGAGAGGAAAACACATTGTCAGAGGCCAACGTGGAACAGCTCGGCCTTTTCTGTCCTTAGAAATCCGGTGCGTGACGCTCACAGCATGCACAACTCCTCAGCGGGCCGTGTGCGCACCGACATGCACTGGGACAGAGACCCCGGCGGCTCCGACAGGGACGGGAGGCCACGCACGCAGACACGCGGGGCACGGGGAGGCTCTGGCTGCCCGGGCTCTAAAGCAGCGCAAACCCAGGTGACCTGCAGGTGCACCTTCTCGGAAGCACTGTCTGAGGACGCGCCGGGTTACAGTGCCCCATCAGGTGTGCTTTTCCTGCGTATTTAGGAAGAACTGGCCTACGCGCCGAATGAATTAGAACCTTCAAAGAGCACACTTTTTTTATTCCCCATCCAGTCAGCACGCAGCCCCCTCTCTGGGTGAGGCGGCCCCCCGGGCACTGTGCCCGCAGCCCGCCCGCCGCCTCGCTCCTGCAGATAGGGCCTTCCCCGCGCCGCCCGCCGCACGGAGACACGAGGCACGGGGACCTGGGAGCGCACGTGCCGGGGCGTCCTCACCTGTGGTCGGCACAGTGGGACTCAGAAGGGGTCATTTACTTCCAAGGACTGTTAGGGTTTCGCATTCATTTCTAAAGCAGAACTGGCTGCTACTGATCAGAAACCCAGCCCCTTACGGCAAGATGAGGCGGTCTGGTCTCCCTGGCCCATGGCCCGGAGGCGGGAGGTCAGGACGCACACCTGCAGGGACACTGCAGCCACCGGCGTCGAGACGCGCTCCTGACAAAGGGTCTGATGCGTTTTTCCATTAATGGTGGGTGTGTTTTCTAGCAACGAAATCTATTAATATTTGTAAGACACAATTTTCTACTACAAGTGATTGAAGGCTCGAGACAGAAAAAAAATTGGAAACAATCTTCCAATCAACAGCTATGTGCCCAGGGACAAAGACCGGACTTTGCAAAAGGATAAAGATGCCTGTCATTGCCCTTTTAGAGATTCGGCCTTTTAAAAAGCCATTGCTTTACGTAACTCTCATACAGAGCATTTAAGCCAAAGGGACAAGTTAGACCTGTGCCCAGAGCCTCTGCCCACACAAAACCAGAGTCGCATGCGCTGAACGTGGCCCAGAGCTCACACCTCAGCTCGTGACGAGGCCAGCAGGCAGGGATGCACGGCTGGTCCGCGCCGGCCGGGCGCGTCCGGGCGCGTCCAGTGGCAGCCTCCACGGGCCGAGCCGCGGCCCCCACGTGGGGGGCGGTGCGCCCGGGGTTGCTCCTAACTAGCTCAGGCCGTTAGGGCCTAGACCAGGGATTTCCCACCGATGTGCGTGAGAATTTTTAAAACATGCAACACCCGACCGCTTTCCCCTTAGACGGTCAAAAATAAAAAATGACAGCAGCCAACACAACAGCAGTCATCCGATGTGAATGAATCAAAATTACAACCTATTTTTTTGATGAGAGTGGCAAATTTTTCCGGTGTGCGGCAGAATTGTAGTAATTACCTTGCGTGTGCCCTGGGGTGAAAAGGCCGGACAGTTGCCGGTGTGGAGCGTCTTAAGTGTCACGACGCTGACTGCTAAACGCATCTCGTAACAGAGAATATAACTAGTGCATTGTGTTTTACTTTAATGATTTTAACACTGATCGACTAAATGTTGAAGCAGAGAAAGTGCGTTTTCTGACTTGAACATGGCTGAGAGCAGTCAGGAGCAGCAGACCGGGGACTTGTTTGTGGCGGTCTGAGGTTGTGTCCCCGGCCCCACAGAAATGTGACCTGGTGTGAGAGCAATACGGTGCGCGCCTGGCACATGTTCTGAGAGTGTCTGCTTTCCCTCCAGACACGCACACGAGCACCGCGACTTAGGGAGCGCTGTGCGACCGCCTGCCACGGCCAGGGCACCTCGCAGGCTTCTTTCAGCACAACTAGTTCTGTGTCTGCTACTAAAATGCATGCCATTCAATGACAATGTAGTTCACAAGAAGTGAGGGTCCTGAATGTCTTCAAATTCATGCCAAACAACAAAAGCACCACCGACAACAGGGAATTAAAAGAAAACAATGTAACAATGACAGAATAAATAAACTCAAAAGCAACATTAAACAAATACCGATGAACTCAGGTTGGTGTTTTGAGAACAGTGGAAGGTGCAGCAGAAAACCTAACATTTCATGCGGGACACACACGAAGTTCAGGGAGAGGCAGGCGTGGAGGAAGGAAGATGGGGGCCTAGCTGAAGTGCCGTCACCTCGACGTAAAGACGCTGTCTCCCCGGCTCTTATTAACAGTATGATTCATTTGTCTTTCGAGTTGTCATTCTTTTTTGTTTTGAAAGAAATATGGGTACAGTTCCAGGTAAATCGGGCCCACGGGGAAGAGCGCTAGACCAAGGGCAGGGCTCCGCCCCGTGTTTGGGCCACAGAGTGCGCCCCGCCTACGGGCCAGCCGGGGGCCCTGTGTGAGCGAGTGGCTGTGCCCTTCCTGCATACCTTGTTTCCGTCGGGGTTGTGGATTACAGTAGTTTGGGGCTCCTGAGTGAGAACAAAATAGAGAAAGAAACAGTTTGCACGGTAAGTACACTCGGATGGGCGTGGGCAGAACAGGGCGAACGGCCCCCAGGACGGACAGGGACAGAGCGGAAGCCGTGGTGCCCGCGGCAGAGGCCCGCGCGGGCAGGCCGCGGGCGACCTTGGGAGCCCCGGGGACCCCGGAGCCCAGCAGCGGCATGCAAAGACCTTCCTCGACCCGCATGCAGCCTGGCTTTGAGGGCTGCAGACCTCCCGCGGCGGCCACTGTTTCACTGCCCGGCGCCGGGCGCCGTCCCTGCTCCTCAGCGAGGGGCCTGAGCCCGTGGCCAAGGGCCCTTGAGATGAGAACACTTTGAGGGGATCTCAAATTCTTCGAAGACAGTTTTTCAGCTGCAGTGTTCTCAGGACTGATTATGTGTCTCACTGTAATTAATACACAGATAAACACCCTTGGAAAATGTGGAACCACTGGACTTAAGAAAGGACTATCCTAGAGAATATGTTTCAAAAGTCCTTGAGAAATCCTAAGGGACATGTCAAAGGTTCGTTTAAAGGGGTTAGAAGTCATCACAGAGTCACAATGGTTTGCTGTTAAGTCCTGTGTTAATTCGTATCAAAAGATTTCTGCCTTGTGGACTACATGCATACAAGATTTATTTGTAAAGCCATGTTTTTCCATTAAAAAAGTATTTTGCCCATTGTTTTCTACCAGAAAATTAAAGAAATATTCCCAAGTGGAAAATCACACTCAAGTAAGTGACACAGAGAAGCCTTCCTTCCCTCCCCTCCATGACAGGCCGACTCCCACCACGTGGCGCCTTGTCAGCGGGAGGCCACGTGGCCGGAGCGTTGGTGGCAGCCGGGAGCCCTTCACAGCGAAGCTGGGGGACCCTCTGAGCACTGCGAGTCCCCCCACCCCCGCTGGACCCAGGATCTGCACTGCGACCAGGACGCGGCCTGCCATCCTGATGTGTCCGCCTGTCCTGCTGACGTGCTGAATGGGCCTTGCTGGGTAACGCAAGCGAAACAACCCCGAGCCTTCTGGACTCGTTTGAGATTACGGCACACAGGACAGTAAGAGGTCAGAAACATTTCCGAAAACCCGAAATCCAAGTGCGGCCTGTTCTGGAGAAAACAGCGTGGGGCGCAGAGCACTGCCTCCCAGCCCTCAGGCCTCACGCCGGCAGCCGCTCCGAGGAGTCGGAAAGCTGACGCGGCTGCCGACGGAGCGAATGTCGGGGAGACACACAGAGCCGCTGCTGGGGCTCAAGCTCTGTGCTGTGCGGCCTCGTCCTCCGGGCTGAGGTGAAACAGTGACCATCCGATTTAGGGGACGACAGACAGGAGGCTCCGAAGATCGGGAGCCGCCCCGTTCCCACCGCGCAGCCTCCCAAAGCCAGCGTCTGCGAGCGCGCGGCCTGGGGCTCTGAGTAAGGCCTGCGCTTCCAGCTCCGCGCCGGGTCCTGCGACCCCGCGTCAGGGGAGCCAGGAGCCACCAAAGCACATTCACGGCACATCCTGGGCACATGCAACGGCCAGCGGCAGGGATCCCAGCTGCAGCGCGACGCCCAGCAACGGAGCGAGGCATCCCTCATCAGACACACAGCGTGGCAACCGCCCCCACAAAATAAAGAAAAAGATGGACTTGTCATGTCTTAGAAAGCAAAACAAAAAGAAGCAAAACCCAACGGAAAGCATGTATAATATGTATCTGCACAAGGCGAGCACACAGGAGAAGCGGAGGACAGCAAAGCGCGGAGGAAGGGTTACAGAGTCCAGCTGTACCAGCGCCGGGGGAGGGGCATTTTCTTTGGGGCTAGTTACCACGTTGGCTTTGTTGTTTATCTGTGGGTGCGCAGAAAATAGAAAGAGATGCCTTAAAGCCCTGGTAGCAAAGTCTCTACACGCAGCACGTCTACTGGAGGTACCGACACGGAAATAAAGAACGCTGCGAAGAGCGCGCGGCGCCCGGGGCCCGCGGCGGCAGCACCGAGCGGCTGCAGCGGAACCCGCAGAGGCCCCGGGCCCGGCACGGACCTGCCGCCCACAGCCCTCGAGGGGCCGGCCCTCTGCCGCCAGGTCCCCCGGCACGCCACGAGGGGCCCGCTCCTGCGTTCACTCTGTCTCGGAGCCTGAGCTTCCCACCGATCGGCTTTCTCTGGGGCCCCATCTTTTTGTTTAATGGGCATCTAATGACAAGCTAGGTCTTCTGATGAAGTGCAGGCTTTACAATGTATGTTCAAAACTGGTAAATCTGGGTCGCCTTTAAAAAACACATTATCAGATATAAATGGGCAAACTGACCTCATGACTATATTCTGGTGGTAAACAACCACTTTTCACTAGGTTTCCTGTCCAAGTGCTGCTGCGGTCACCGAATTTCACACTAGGAAGGCCACACCCGGCTCTATCGTCACTGGTCCGACCCCGCAGGAGAGGCTGCTGCCTCTGTGGAGGCCCCGGTGTGCGAGCGCCCGGGGTCGGGAAGGCAGCCTGGGGCCCAGAGAGGGCTCTGCACACGGTGGCCACGTGACCGTGCAACCGGGTCTGGACGTGCAGAGCCACAGACTAGAAGTGGCAATGGCTGCCCGTCTAAACACGCGTGACAACGTGCATCGTGGCCATCAAACAGAAACAAAGATCAACACTCATTCTCTTGTACTATATTCTCTAGGTATTTTCTTTACATATTATTACTACCTAAAGGAACACGTCCCATTTAGAATAAATGCACGTGAGGATTTAAAGAGAAGAACGTATCGCATTGAGCAATGCACACCCAAGAGCACCCAGAAGCGAGCACACCGAGGAGCGACTTGGTCTCCAGGGGCCCTTCCCTGCCCTGGCTCCCACCCGCGGTCACACTGACGCCAGCACTGAGAGGAAGGCAGAGGCCCGGCAGCTGACGTGGGTGCGTGACACCTGCTTTCCTGTTCACCTGCCTCCGTGTGACTAGACGGCACAGCATCACACTGCACGCGGTGAAATGCAGGAGCAGGGAGAAGACTTCAGGAGTCCCTTACCGGAAAACCCTTTAAAAATCCATCTGTCTTTGGCAGACAGTTTGTTTGAAACTTTCCTTTAAATAAGAGTGCACAGACTTTAAGAAAAAATTTGTGTAACAGCCAAAACAAGAGAAAGTGGAGTCTGTGGAAGAGGAATAGAAGCCAGCACTGCCGTGCACACAGGACGCAGGGCAAGGGGCTGTGCCTGTCCCCTCGCCCCCGGAACTGCACTGGGCCTGACCACCGCTGCTCCCCGGGGTCAGGGGGCCCTGCGCACACACGGGGTGACGCCGTGTCCAGCTGGGTCAGCGGCTGCCAGCCACGCAAGGGGAATTCTGCGTTTTTATTTGTTTTGAGACGAGAGTTGTTTTTTCCTCGGATGTGGATGCCTGGAACGGCTTTGCTTTAGTGAGAATGTCCCTCGTGCACACGTGTGCACACCCACGCGCACACTGGGGACTGTGGACCCTGCACTTCCCAGTCCTCCACTTTCCCCACACGCCCAGCTCGGGGCTGAGGCCGTGGGCTCCTGGGTGCGACCTTTCCCAGGGAGAGCCTGACAGGCAGACTCCCGCCGCCCCCCGAAAACGCGCGCCGGACTTCCTTTTCTGACCTGACCACACAGAGAGGAGGGAGAGAAAAAACAGGGTCGGCCGAGTCTGAGCATCGAGGCGTGGGGCACAGGAGAACGCCGCCCCCGGGAAAGCCCTTCTTGAAGTGTCTACACGAGGAAACTACGGACGACCGGCATCTCAGCAGGACCGTCTGAGACCGGGGCGGAAAGCACAGGGGACAACGCCCCTGGGGAAGGCTAACGTCACGCTCCGGCACGCTAGCTGGGGAAGAGGCCGACGTGCCCCGTGACGCTGGATTCAACGGGGGCCCGAGCCGGCGCGAGGCGGCCGGTGATGGGCAGTGCGGGGCGCGGCCGCCGCTCTGCAAGCCCTATCACAGAGGCAGGCGGTGAGGACAGAGGGGCAGGGACGCCAGTCGCCCATGTCTTACGTCACGTTTTCAAAGTGAACCGAGCGCCTGACTTTGGGTCAAGTTCAAATGTCAGAATAATAACTAATCCTGAGAATGTTGAAGTGTTCGTGAGGAGTGTATGCATCTGCCATTGGAAGAGAAAGAAAAGTGTTAAAGAAAACATACAGGTAACACGCTGGAAAGAGAAATGTAATGCAAACATATGGTTCCATTCCAAGGTAAAGTCTCATGAAACGAAATGGAATCGATAGAAAATCAGTTGTATTATCCTGTTTAGAAATCCAAGAAAGTGAAAATATCCTATTCCTTTCTTGGAAAGTTTGTAAAATTTGTCCTGAATATTCACCTAGAAGCGTCTCAGTGCCTTAGACAGAAGCCCAGAGACAACTGGGGCTCCAGAGAGGCCGCCGGGCCAGGGAGCCCGTTCGCTGGACATTTGGCCTCCAGGCCCAGCGTGGGACCCTTCCAGGCCGTACGTTTCGGCAGCGTCACTGGGCGGGAAAAGTCTTGTGTCACAGATTTTCAGGTGACCAGGACAGTTTGGGTCTGTAGGATACCAGAGGGGTTTAGACATTCTGTTTCCATAGCAGCTTCTTATAAAAATATTATCTATCATGATTGTTTCCTATGCACTAAAACAAGAAATACCACTTCTGTTGGCATAAATATCACTCCTCTTCGTGCGTGAGGTTATTTTACACTTTGCCCTGCCTTCTCGCAGGAACTACAAAAATGGGTGTGAAGCCCTGGGCCTGTGCCCAACGGTGTGCAGTGTGACCCGACTCGGTGCAGGGGGACGCGGACATACCTTCACGCCGTCCGGCTTCTTCAGCAAACTCTTGGCTGCTGCAAAGCGAGAATAAGATCACGTCAGCGGGCCACGCGCGGGCTCCGGGGCCCAGTGGGGGACGGTCCCCGTGTCTCCCTCAGGGCGTGCTGAGTCGCAGCCCACGTGTGCACCCGCCAAATCGGCCGCGAGAGCCAGGCTTCCCGGGCGTGGAAGTGTGGCATCGCCGCCCATGGAAGCCGGAACCCAGTCCCGGCTCGCGCTCTGCGTAGCCTTCCTAACGCACAGTGAGTCACTGCTTCCTGGGCCCCAGTGAAACAGACATTTATCTGAGCAGAGTCTCTGTTAGGTGCTATTTCATGAGATTAACCGAACACACCCCTGCCAATGGCAGCCACATGAGCCGACTGTTTGCAGAACAGGTCACGTGCAAAGGGGGTGACAAAGTCTCACCGCCCCACACACAGTGGACCACGCACGCCCGGCGGGGCCCCGGCCCCCCCCCCCCGAGCGGCTCCTGTTGGCGCCCCGGCCAGCAGACGCCTCGGGCCTCCTGGGCTCACAGTGTCGGCCACTCGGCCGCCGGGGCCACTGCGGCTCCAGGCTGTGCAGGAACAGAGTGCGGGGCTCCCGGGTCGCCTGACGCCGCAGACCCTGCTCGTGGGAACAGCAGGCAAAGTGAGATGGCCCCAGTTTGGCACAGTCCTTTGGCGGCTGTTCCAAGTGTCAATGGCCGGACAGAAAATTTGCCAAGATCAGCTTTCTAGCTGCTCCAGGCCTCCCCATACTTGAGGCTCATTAGCAGTTACAGAAATTTGACTTGGAGACTGGGTCCCCAGAGGGGCTCAGCCGAAGAAGGGGCCCCAAAACGGAAGTAACGCCTGGGGACAGCAGACCCGTGTCTGCCTGGGGCAGTGACCCTGCTGCAAAGAGCCGGCTCCGCCTCCTGTCGCCCGCGGTTTGCGGACTCAGTCCGCCCGGCCGGCGGAGGAGCGCTCCCGTCTGCCTGCGTGCTGCCACGGGCCGTGCCTCGGACCCGAGGCCGGCCCTGTTCCTGCGGCCGGGGCGGGCACGTGCTCTCGGAGAGCTCGGCCCCGGGAGCCGGGCCCCGCAGCGACGGCCTCCTTCCACAGCCGTGCTTGCCGGGGCTTCCTGCGGGCTGAGACACGTGCCCGTCCGCCGTCACACTCTGCAGAGCAGCGGCCGGCGGGCCCAGGACGAGGACACACGCTGCGCCGTGAGACACGTGGCAGGGCGGGCGGCGGCTCCCCACGGGAGGCTCACCTGCCTGGCGCCCCGCGCACAGCACCGCGGGAACGAGGCCATCCCCAAACGTGACAGTGTTTTCCTAATTATCGTTTTTTTCTCAACTCCAGAGAGACGATGGAAGAGGAAACCAGAAGGTGAGGATCCGGGTCCCTAACCCGCGTACCTGAGAAATTCCTCGTGGCCAGCATCGTGGTCAGGATGGCGCCCTGCGAGGCGGGAGAAGGGTGAGTGCCGTCCTGCGGGCTCCGCCCCCACGCACCGCCCTGGACCACAGCCGCCCGCCCGCCTCGGGAGGGACACAGCAGCTCCCTCTGCTACCGTCACAGGCCCCCAGGGCTCCATCGCGGGGCCACGTCGAGTGCGCCCACAGCTCCCTGAGACCCAGGAGGCGAGGAGGCCTCTGCTGACGGCCACGGCCCGCCCCTCACTCCCCTGCCCATGCCGCGGCCCTCCCAGCAAGTCCCGCCGCACCTTTAGCTTCCTGCGGGCGTTGAACTTCTTCAGGCAGTCCACCGTCTCCTGCCTGTGCATCATGGACGCCACCGTGGAGCGTTGCTGCGGGAGGAGGGGAGAGTTCGCTCGCCGCACAGCACCGCTGCCCCCGCGGCTGGCGCTGCGCCCACGCGACACCCCTCACTTCCCATCACCTTCACGCCACGACGCTGTGACCATGTTTCTGCAGCACTGCCTTTCGCGCGCCTCCTGGCGTTAGTAACTGGTCATGCCTCACACTCATCCGCAGAAAGCATTTCCCCCCGGGCCCCCCAGGCGCACGTGGTGCGCAGCGTGTCCGGGGCCCCCCAGCCTCTGGGCGCCGGCCTGTCCTGCGCGGGAAGCCTGCTCCCAGCTTCCAAGCCCCAGGCCTAATGATGACACAGTACACGTTGTCTAACTGTTTTCTTCCAGGCGCTGTTTCATCTGTGCGTCGCTTTCTTAGCTGCTGCTCGTGACTGTGACCGGTGACCGGTGGCGCGTGGGCGCTCCCGCCTCCGGACCCGGTGCAGCTACCCCAGTGCGCTTCCCTGGGACACAGTCGGCTTTGCGAACTCCTTCAGCCAAAACTCACGCCCTCATTTACCCTGCTCCCTGCAAACGCAATTTTAAACCCACAAAAACCGTTTGACAGCGCGCCTGTTGCCACGCAGGCGGCACTCACGCAGATCCAGGGGTGCTTGAGCGCCTCGGAGGCTGTGATGCGCTTGGCGGGGTTGATGGTCAGCATCTTGTTGATCAGGTCTTTGGCTTCAGGAGTCACCGTGTCCCACTCTGGGGACGGAAACTTCAAAAACAAATTCATAAAGTGTGTGAAAAACAGGTTCCCGCAAACACGCAAGGAAGAGCCACATATACTAATGATGTCCTTCAGTAGTGAGTTCCTTCACAAACTCACTTTTTGTGTGAGTCGTATGGTAGATAAATTGACATAGATAAACACCCCCCCCCCACATAGACATTTACACGTTACATATACAAGAACAGTAACTGGTAAGGGACATATGCTCCAAAGTGCATATTATACATACTAAATAATTTTACAGAGTTTAGAAAAATAAACTTGAAAATCTTTTAGTCCTGAAAGTGAAATTTTACCCATTCCTCACAGTCATTTGCAGAAGCCACAGAGGTGGCAGCTGTCACAGGTGGGCTGACACCCCGTGTGGCCCCACCAACGCAGAGACAGCCCGCGGCCTCGCGCCCTGTGCCCCGGCGAGAAGGACTGACCCAGCCTTGGGCGGGGGGGTGGGGGGGTGCGGCTTCACTGCCCCGAGTTCAGAAAGGACCAGCTGCTGCTGAACAGCGGCCACTAGAAACCCACCTCCCCTCTACGGCTTCAGTCAAGCTGCGCATCCCGAGTTCCTCTCCCTGAGGCTTTTTTGAGAATCCTAAGGCCTCGCTCCCACCTAATTATCATATTAATTAGCATATTGAGTAGGAACACTCTTAGTGGAGGGATCAGAAAACTGCCGTCTCATTAGTTTCTAGACAACAGACAGAAACTGGGTTCTTCCTCAGTCCATGCCCTTTCAGTCTTGGAAAAAGCTTTTGTAACTGTGTCATGGACTTCTTACTTTTTGTATAAAATGGGCAGTTTATGACCCATTGGCAAAATGAAACTTGAGAAAATGATGCTCTTTAATACTTGTAGATTTTGTCCGTTTAACAGTTGTCACTTTAGTGCCACCTTTCTTTGGAGCAGCTGTGAAAACCTGCTAAGGATTCGGAGCAAGGGAACACTCAGGCTGCCTGTCGGCGAGGTCAGCAGCAGCCAACGGTGGGCCGCCCCGTCCGCCCTCCCGGCGCTGACCAAGGGTGTCTCTCTCTCTCTCTCTCTCTCTCTCTCTCACACACACACACACACACACACATTTAGTTCTTCTAGAGAGAGTAAGGGAGGGAGAAAGAGACGGAAAGAAACAGCAATCGGCGCCTCTCCCGTACGCCCGATGGGGACCACGCCTGCCACCCAGGTCTGTGCCCTGACTGGGATTTGAACCTACGACCTTCTGCTTGGCAGGATGACACCGAACCCACTGAGCCACAGCGGTCAGGGCGAATTCAGGCTTTTGACATCAGCGCTCTCTCTTCTACGTGGAGCCTCCAGCTGGGGCACAGGAGGTGGGCCTGTATCGCCTGCTGCTTCGCTCCCCACTACTGACACGGGGAAGCGGCGGCGACCCCCGCGGGCTGCCCCTCGTGGCTGTGGGGCCCCAGGGAGCACGCCATTTACGGTGCGCTTGGCAAACGGGAGAAACTGCCTCAAAGGGCAGAGCGAAGCCAAGGAGGGACAACAGGTAAGGCCATACTCTTCAGACTTGGAAGTTAACTCACATACCTGTGTGCACGTATACATAGGCTCCATTCAATTATGCTAACTCTATGTAAAACGTACTGGGATTGTGACTTTCCCTTAAATTTCAACTGTAAAGCCTCTTCTTCGAACGAGAGCGTGCACAGAAGACCACGAGGTAAATAAGACAGAAAAGGTCAAAGTGACACACAGAACAATGTTCTATTTGATACCTGGATCACTGCAAGGTACTGTCGGTATACGACTTAAAATCATGTGACAGGCATTAGGGCATATGATTAGAATAAACAGGTGGGAATCATTTCTAAAGCAAAAATGCTTTAATTTTTAGCTGTTAAAATGCACGAGGACCCAAGCATCCTGACGAGCAAAGCCCTTCCTTAGCGACCTCAGACGGCTTGCCTTCCGACCGTGGCAGACACCGGCTGCAAGGGCACACGCGGGGGCTCTGCGGCGTTTCTCCGTTCCCTGCTCACCCCCCGCCCCGCCCCGCCCCGCCCCGCCCCGCGGGGCTCCCACGCGCGCTACGTACGTCGTACGCGCCGGCCTTGATCTGCTGGTAGAGCCGGTGCTGGTCTTCGTCCCAGAACGGGGGGTAGCCCACCAGCAGGATGTACAGGATGACGCCTGCAGGGCGGCACGTCGGCGCGTCAGGCGGCCCGGCACCGGCAGCCGGCTCCCCGGCCACACCCGCAGGGCTCCGGAGCAGGGGACTGGGCCGGGGGCGCGCCGGACAGACGTGTGCGAGGAAGCAGTCGAGCGGGGTCACAGCGCCCGGCCCGCAGGCCTAAGCGGCTGTCCGGGCCCGGCAGGTCTGGAGGACGGCCCCTGCCTGCCGCTCCGGGCCACGCGCTCTCCGGCCCCGCCGAGCGTTCCTGGACACGCCAGGCCCGCAGGCACGGCCGGCATCTCCGCTCTGTCAGGGGGCTGAGAGCCGAGACTGCGCGCGTGCCAGGCCAGGGCAGCAGAGCCGGGCAGCCGGGGGCCTCCCCTCAGCCCCCACACTCACTGCCCGGCAGGCCCTGCGCCGCGGAGGGCGGAACAGGAAGGAGGGGCGGGGCAGGCAGGGCGCGGCACCTGCTGAGGGCCGAGGCGACTCAGGTCCCACCTCAGGTCCGGGGTCGCTGTGCAGTCGGCCCCACCGACCCTCCCCCCAGCACCCAGGGTCCCAGGGCGGCGCTGCAGCCAGGCCGACCGCCCTCCACGGCGCCACGCGGGTGCCCGCCTGTGGCCCTCAGCAATGAACCGGGCCTGGAGGGGTCACCTTGGCCACGTGAACATCTGAGTTACCGCCGTCAGCATTTAGATGTGAACGAGGACACCACGGGACAGCGCTCCGACCCTAGGCCGCTCAGGGTTCATGCCGGGACGTCGCCCTCAGGCCGGGGGACACCCACGATCCCACCCTCTGGCTGAAGGGAAACCCCGAAGGCTTAGGGTGGCCGCGTGCACGTCAATGGCTTCGCAAACTCTAAAATGTCTTCCTTTAAAGCGCCCCCCCCTTTGCCCTGCGCATGACTCCCCGAGGGCAGCACACCCCCACGCACAGGGAGACAGCCAGCTCTGGGACGGGGTGTCGGCAGGTGCCCGACGAGCCCAGGGGCCACCTGGGCCTCCCCCAGCAGCTCCCAGGGTGCAGAGGGGCCCAGAGCTCCAGAGGCCCCCTGCTTAAAGCCCAACAGCGCCCCGCGGCCGTCACCGCGGTGACAGAACGCAGCGTGAGACCCGTCCCTGCCATGTAGCAGCAGAGAATCTATGTTTTTAAATAGAACCAAACCCAGAGAGTTATTTTCTAAACTGGGGTTTGGCCCAGCTCCCTGCAGGCTCTGCGGCGAACCCGAAGGCGGGACGCGCCCCAGCCCCTGTCCCGCACCTCCCCTGTCTCCCTCCCGCCTGAGAGGCCCTGTGACAGCAGCTCTGGGGGACTCAGCGCCTCCCCGCCACCCGCAGCGGTCACCCCCCCGGGAGGTCTCGTCCTGCTTCCCCGGACACAGCTGCTCGAGGGCAAGGGCGCTGGGCCGGGCCAGCAGGGGGCATGGAGGAGGGCCCGCCGGGGACGCCTGCCCCTGACCGCGAGGTGCCACCTGCGCCGGGGGAAGGGCAGCTGCGCTGCAGCCCCAGGCAGCCGCCCGGGGTCCTTACCGCAGGCCCACATGTCCACTGGCTTCCCATAGGGGTCCTTCCGTAAGACCTCGGGGGAGAGGTAGCCGGGCGTGCCCGCGAACCCTGCGGAAACAGAGGCCTGTGAGTCGGCGCCGAAGGGGCAGGGCCGCGCGGAACGGGGTGCGGCAGGGACCGTCTTGGCCTCTGCTGTGCCTGCCCCACAGACCTGGGGCAGCGGTGGGGACAGAGCGAGCTCCCCGCCTGCATGCGGCCTGCCTCCTGCGCTGCCCCAGTGGGCGGCTGGCACGCCCTCTGTGCGGGCCGGGCCATGTGTGGAGGAGGGAGGCCCCGGCCCCGGCCCCGGCCCCGGCCCATGGGGGGTCTCGGCGGCCAGCTGCTGAGGAGCAGCAGCCGCAGGCAGCCCCGTGTCCTGAGCTCCGGGGTCCAGGAAGGGACTGTCCTCGCCCCGGGCCGGGGGAGCTGAGGCTGAGGGGCACGCGGACAAACCGACCTGCGGACACCGCTCCATGTCCCCACAGCCCCCCGGCACCCCGTCCCCTGGCCACGCCCCACGATCGACACCCTGCCCCATGCACGGCCAGGACACATGCACGGTCAGGGGCTCGGGGGCGTCTGCACAGAAAACAGAGTGAGCACCTGGGGTCTCCCGCTGTTTGCGGCTGTTCAGAGAAAAGCCGCGAGACAGGAAGGGTGCCGGCAAGCATTACCGAGCCTCCGGACACCGGCGGTCAGAGACAGTCGGACGGGGCTTAGGGACGGGTTCCAGGGCACGGCATGAAAAGTGGGTTAACAGTGGGGGCCGGCTGGAAGTCGGGGTGAAATAATGTATTCGGGCCAAACGCAGAGAGAGTGCATAAGCCTGGTTAGAAATACTGTCATTTAAAACTGTTTAGAGACAGAAGCTTCATCACATAGAAATCTCAAAATATCAACATTTTAGAGAGGACACTGGTATCACATGAAACACTTGATATAAATCTGTGGGAATACATCCTTTTTAATGTTTTTTAAACTCCGAGTCGCTGATCACAAAGGCCCGCCACACGGTCTGCACTTCCTGAGCACCGACTCTTCACACAGCAGTTTCCGGCATCAGGGGAGGTGGAACGTGAACAGCCCACCTGCTCACGAACAAGACGCGCGTGTGCCCGCGAAGCCTCAGCCCCTCGGGACCAGTCCGTCTCCTCACTGCCCTTGAAGGCGAGTCGACAGGCTGCGGCCGCCTGCGCACGGTTTCCCTGCAGCTGCTTCTCGAGGCACACCCCTCAGCGCGGGCACGGTTCAGAGCCGACAGGCCCCCAACGCCCCGCGGGCGCAGCGGCGGCCGAAACCCACATCCCCATCCTCTGGGGCCAGACAGTGGGGTGCCGGGCAGTGACACGGAGGCCTACTCACCGAACCATGCCTGCTGGTCCCCTTGGACTTCGATGGCCAGGCCGAAGTCCGCCAGTTTCACAGCCGCTCCCTTGGATTTGCTAGCTAAAAGCAAATTCTCAGGCTTTATTCAGAAACGAAGAGAAGAGACCAAAGTGAGAACCTGCTTTAAGTGACCCTTCAGATGAACAGCATGTTACAAGACCAGGGGGTGGGGGGGACGGCGTGCACTGACCCCTCCCAGATATGGGACCCCCCAGCGAGGACAGGGTTGGAGATGCCAGGCGCCACCACGCGTGCAGGTTCAGACAGACATGCGGACACCCAGGCACGCCCTACACCGAGAGAACGTGCGTGGGTCGCGTCCGGCGACGGGCGCCTGCCTGGCCTGCTCACGTGCTGCCCGGGGCCCCCGGCCCAACAGGGCCGAGAAGCCTGGCAGAGCAGACAGTGCCGGCAGGAGACGCGGCACGGCGCACGGGAGCCGGGCCGATTTACAGACAGTTGGCAAATAAAACTGTGCAAATTAAATCCTAGCTGATTTCAAGAGTTTGGACCCAAATGTGGTGATTTTGATTCCTCAATGTTTCCAAACAATTTCTGTGCAAATTTTGGAGTCTTGTTCTGAATTATGTATTAAAATTGCTGTCTTTAAGAATCTGTTTATTCTTAAAGGCAGAAAGAGCACACTGCTATTTGCCAAATGTTATCGTCAGCTTTTTTCCTTGATAAGCCAGCTTTTTGCACCATGATTCACATGTCTTCCCACTGCGATTCGAAGCATCACTTAGACCCTCGTCTTCCCGTCCTGGAACACTGACAGGGGGCAGCACTGGTCCTTCCCGGGTCTCCGCCATTGGCCGGGACCAGTGACTCTGTGTTGGAATAAGGCTGTTTCTGCCCCAGTGCTTCCCAGCCAGAACCCGAGACACGTGGGCCCTTGGAACTGGCACCACGTGGAAGCCTTGTTCTGGCCTGACCGCCCTGTGGGTGTGCAGGGACGGTCAGCGGCAGCTGGCGGGGGAGGACGGCTGGCCCACGCGCCCAGCGCAGTCTGTTCCCTGCCAGTGACTGCACAGGCACCCGCCGGGCCGGGGCAGACACACCCGAGCGCGCGGCTCACCGGCCCTTCCCCTCGGGACAAGACCCGGCAACCTTAGAGGTGCGTCTCAGATGGGAAAACGGTGGGAAACAATGGGCCATACAAGAGCCAAAACAACTGTCTGGAAATCTAAAAATTCAGTAAGGTGGTTTTATTTATATATTGACAAACAGCTAATTTCATATTTTTTCATAAAATTGGGCACTTTTTTTACTGAATTAGTCAATTCTGTTGTTCGGACCTTGTATTAACACAGCCTAAACCAATATTTAATTGATTACATAAGCAAGCCATGCAAGTTAGCGAAAGACACAGATCCACAAGGGGAAGAGATCGAGCGGAGGCTGCAGGAGGTGCCAGCGGGGCGCCAGGCGAGCCCGGGTGGCGGCGGCTGCGGCCACTGGACGCAGCCCCAGCAGGCCAGCTGGTGGCTGGGGGGCCGCGCAGCAGCGCCTCCGGGCCAGGAGGGCGTCGCACGGGCTCGGCTCTCAACCAGGATGATGCAGTGGGCGCTGCGGCGGGCGCTGCGGTGACAACGTCTCAGGGACGTGAACCATCTCCCCGGCGCAGGAACTGTCAGCGAGACCTAACACCCCCGATTACTCGGACCTCTGGTCGCCTATCAACAGAGTGTCTAACCGTGGTGCACTACCATTTGGTATTTTATTCTCACAACTAAAAAGCTTCTAATGTAATCAACAAGCTCCAGCTATGAATTTATGGAGTGAATGGCCGGGAGAAACTGCATCAAGTGGTCACCATGGCCTGGAAGCGCTGCGATGTCAGAGAGCTGCGTGACACACACGGTCACCTGCGGGCTCACCTCGGGGGAGACGTACGGTCGCTCTGGAAAGCACAGCCACTTCAGGTCTGCTGGGTCAAGTGGCGCTGAAGTTTGCTGAGCAAATGCCAGTGCCGCCACGAATTAACTTTTAAAAACTCAGTGTGGCTTTATTCTTATCACTCCGTCAAAACGCTCTGGGCAGCGCCATGTGCTTTATGGTCGAAACGGCAGCCCTCCTCCAGCTGCGCTGCGGGGACGCCCTTGCCTGTGCCACGCAGGCCTGTGAGGGGTGGGGCGCTCACCCCGAGACAGGCCCTGGGGCTCCCCGCAGGCCTGTGAGCCACGCAGGGGGGTCCCGACACCCTTGAGGTCTGCTTGGCGGCAGTTACATACAGGGAAAGGCAAGGCAATTTCAATGTTATTTTATGGATTTAAAAATTACCAGCACTGAAATGGCTTCATGTTTATGTATATCCTTTAGGCAAACCTAAAATACAGAATTATGGGATGCAACCTGGAATATTAGGATGACTCACTTTATTGACATTATTTGCTTTACAAAATGCTTCATCCGAAGATTGCTTCTAACAAATGGCGAGCTTTGATGAAACGTAGCGCACAGATTCGATCTGTACATGTGCTCTGGAATGTATCTGCCTGAATAACCCTATTATCACGTCCTGCCATTCACAGAGCCTCCACATTACTGTACTGTGCTACCTGATTCAGGGGTGAGGGAGGGAGTTCATCTTCTGAATGACAGAAAGGAAATCTGCACCCACTGCACTGTTATCGGCTACTATTCCACTACTCTGGTTTTCTAAAGCAAAGGAGGATGAGCTCAGAAGCACCGGTCTCCCTGGGCGGCTGTGGGTGAGCACAGGCCCAGCACTGAGCAGGACACGTGCTGGCCCGGGACGCGGATGTGGACCTAAGTGTGTGTCCTGGGCTCACGTCACTGACGCCCAGACTCTTGGAGCTGAGTCGTTCGTTCATCTCTCAACCGTTCTAGGGAACGATGACGTCTCCCAACCGCACGTGCGTGGCTGTAAGGCCCAAAGGGTTTTACCCCAGGATTCCGTCACGGTGAGGGGCAACGGCACCAGGGACTGCGGCCGCCGCCTCAGCGCGCAGGATGCTGTGTGTCTGCAGAGCGCGGGTGCGACCTGAGGCCTGTGCGCCAGACCGCACGACGCTCTTGGGCTAACCTGCATTTCCTGAGACCTGCTCTACCTTCTTCCAACGCGGTCGCTCTCTGGGCTGGGGTGACACAGAGTCCACGGACGGGACCCCAGGCGGCCGCTCCCCCTGCTGCTTCCCCACATGGCAGGCTTTCCAGGATGCCTGGCCTCCGCGTCGGCACGTCAGCCGGACTGCGCAGCACCTGTCAGCGAGTTCTATCCTGTGCGTCCGTATGGTCACGGTGGCCCCTTTTCTCACTGAGAGCTGAGATTTTCCTGAAACTGGTCACGGATGCCAACGCACCGAGAGATGGGGAGGAGATCCGGCCACTCAAAACCCTCCGTTTCTCTGTGAGAGAAGCCCAAAAAGACGAAGCAAAGGCTGGATCCAATTGGACTCTCCTTTCAAAGATGCGCTGCTGAGGAAACTCTCTGATGGTCTATAAACGGTTCATCTTCAAAAGGCAGCCCATTCAGTGGGTATTTGTAGGAGAATCGGAAGCACTCAAAAATACCTACTACCCATATTGAAATAAAGGAAGGGGGAAATTATCACAGACTTAAATTTTTTTTAAAGGTGTCATTTATTTTTGGGGTGGGGGAAAGGAGGAAGAAAGAGGAACATCAATGTGCGGTTGCCTCCTGTGTACCCCTCACTGGGGACCTGGCCTGCAACCCAGGCCTGTGCCCTGACTGGGAATCGAACCAGTGACCCTTTGGTGCGCAGGCCGGCACACAATCCACGGAACACCACCAGCTGGGGCCCAGAGACTTAGTTTTGATGTTGCTGCTCACAAACCTCATGACTGCACACGACGATATCCAAGTTAGTGTGACTTTCACGTGGCACCTGGCTTGGGGAAGGAGGCTCACCTGCAGCATCTGCTGTACCATGGACTTGACTGCACACGTGTGCCAACCATCCCCAATCACACTCATGCTAGGGACACACATGGACGAGAGTTGTGATTTCACTTTTTAATGCTTTTTTTCTCCATGAGTATTATAAATTTATTCCGCATTATTAATTTTTACAAACCCCTGGGTACTGGTTGTTAGGGAGTGAGCTTGTCTTTTTAGATGGATCTCCTCACTGAGAGTCTCGGCGTTTCAACATGGCATGAACCACGCAGTGCTGGAGTGTTTTCAGTCCCAGTTCCTGCCCAAAGACTGTGACCACAGCACCCAGGAACACACGAGTGGCAAGCTTGAGCACCAAGTTCACACAGGCACGTGCAGAGGCATTCCTGCTTCCATCTCACAGGAGCGGGGCCCACGTTCTGGCCTCGGCGTGGGCAGTTTCCAGCTGACACGGTGCTGCCCTGTCTGCGTGAGAGCAGGAGGGTCTGCCGGCCTCACCAGGCACACACTGCAGGTTCCAGCATCACCGCTCCATCCCTGGGTCCTGACCGGCTGTCACCCTGCTGGCACGCACCATGCAGCAGCCACCTGTGCCCACCCCTGGTGCTGTTACCCCATACCCGACACACACCGGGCACCCAGTAAAGAAACACGGGAGAACTACCAGAGTTACGGAATGTACCACACACAGCTTGTTTCTGAAATACCCAGGCATACGCAATACACAAATGATAAGCTCTTTAACATTTTATCTAAGTGTGGTTCTGAGCAGAGTGGAACAACTGTGACTTTAGAATTGTTCGAAGTGTGGAGCCCAATTTGATATCTGAGATACCCATGGGAACAGGACTTAACTAAATATGTCACGTTCTCCGCAGAAAACGAATTCTTTTCTTCTCTGGTCATAACCTTAATTTTCTTCCTCTGAAAGTCTTTAAAATCCTCCCGAATCTCCAGAATGAGTACCTTCACCACCATCTTCTTACCTATCCCTCGTCTATCCACCCACCCTCCACCCTGCGCCCACTTCCCCCGGCGCCTTCCCACTCCGCAGTGCTGCTCGCTGCAGGCCGGCCTTACGAAGGGCGTTGTTCTCGCGGAGGAGCTTCGCCGGTATTGGTTTGTTGCTGAAGGGCCCAGTTATGTGTGAAGCCTCCAATTGAGTGCGGGTCACGAAGCAGGTTGATCATCTCCGACATCCTCTGAACTGCAGAAGTCTTTCCCTTTGTGTACAGTACAGCTGTTTGAAAACACACAGCTCTGTGACTGTCTCCTTTGACTCGGTTCTGTCAGCTGTTCACAGAAACCGTGTTCTCCAGGCTCTCAAAGGAGAACGTGCCTGAGTCTACATTCCTTTATTTCTCATGACATCCCAGTCGTCACTTGTCACCGCGGCCTCTCTTTGACAAATAGTTTTCTGGTCGCGGTGCTTGTCTGAGGTATGGCTTTCTTTCTGGTGGGAGGGCAGTGACTCAGTTTCCACACAGCTTAGATGACCCCAGCCTCGTGGCCCATAGGCCTCGTGCGGAAGTTTGTTCTTGATCTGCGCCGTGACTCACGCCCACAGCTCCGACGGGGCCGGGGCGGGTGCAGCCTCATGAGCGTTTATTCTGCCTCCTTTGTGCCTGGCTGTCCAGTCACCAGCTCGCAGATGTCCGGCCTGAGCCACAGTGACCCCCTGCTCCTGAGCAGCCTATTTTTAAGCACTCCAGACCGATGGCCTCGACATGGCATGGTTCCCATTAGACAAGACCAGTGCACTTCATTCCTTGAGCTTCACTTTCCACAGGCTGTGACCAAACCCTTACTGATCCCTAAAAGTTGGGAACTTTTTCTTTGCACAACAGCCTATTCCCAAACTCTGTTTCTCCCCAACTCTGCACCGCAGCTGAAAGACACCTTAGTCTCTTACTCCCAGTACTGGAAGATCCACGCGTGAGATTTCAGAAAATCTTTTGGTTAGCTAAACTTAGAACCATCACCCACATAATTCTTAATGTTGCTGGCAAAATTTCCCATCACCAGCTGACCAATACCTTAGTCTCTATTGTTCAATTCACTGAACTGAGCTGAGAAGTAGCAGCGACCCTGGAACCAAACTACAGGGGCACACAGCGATGGCCTAGCTGAGTGGCAGGCAGAGGCCCTGTCCCTCAGGGTCGCTGCGTTCCACGCGCCCCCCACCAACACGGGGCCACCTGGGTGCCCTGTGCATGAAGGGGTTGTGAGCATTCCTTAGGGAAGTCGGCACAGGGATACCGCGGCTGCTAGATAAGGGGCAGACATTCCTGTTTTTATGATTAAAATCCTGCCTCGACCCTCGTCCTCCCAAAGACTGGAGTGTGTTCCTGAGCTCCAGGTCGCTACTAACTTCACCACAGCCAGAGCCAGCACCGCGCCCGTCTCCAGCGATTGGCCAGATTGGCCAGAACCCGACGCGCCTTTGACAGCGGCGTGTCCGCGCATGCGCACCTCGCCCCTCGCCCCCCCCCCCCCCGGGAGCGCTGAGACCTGTGCCCTCGGCCTTAACCCCCAGCGCTCACACCCGCTCACCTTGCGCGCACCTGTGCCTCTGGCTAACCGCACCTGCGGGGCGCAGCCCTGTCTAGTCCACACAGCTCTCCAAGGGGAGGCGGGGCACCCGGGGTTGAGCCAGCCCCCACGAGTGATCTCCAGGCTATCACTCTACCAGACAGGACATACTCACCTTCTTTATCCAATTTTAAGTGACGTACGTAGCAATCTACCTTACTGTGTTGCCTTTTATGCTATAAACGTGCTTTTATTCTCCCCTCCGCGGAAGGCGCCTGCGCACGCACTCACGGGGCATGGCCGGGTCGGGGCGCGAGCCTGGCTCCGCGCCCACTGCGCTCCGAGGGGCTGACCTGCAGAGCCCATCCGTGCCCGGCAATGACGAAGAACGAGCTTCCCGGGCCTTTCGCTGTTACGGACAATTGAACTGTGCTCAAACATCTGCGTTGTCCCCGAGCTGACACAGGAATCAGGGTATGGAAACAAAAATATATGGCCTGAGAGCAGTAAGGGCAGTGTTTTGGAGTCTGCTAATATGAAATTTCAGCCAATTTTTCTCATTTTCAGGTGCTGGTAAAGTGCTAGTACAAGTAGCACATGTACCAGGTACAGCCCACCTTGGGTGTGTAAGAGACGTGGAACGGCCCACACCCGGTGCCCCTGGCGTGCTCTGCGCTCACTCAGCAGGCTTCCGGAACGAGCACGGGAAACTACTCTGAGCTCCAGTCCACCCTGGTCGGCTGCTGGACAGAGGCGGGGGAGGTACGAAGGCAGCACGCGCTCCCCAAAAGCTCACTTCCGTCCTCCCCTGAGGTCCGAGGAGAGTGGGGCAGAAACACATCTGCCCTGAAAGCAACGTACCCGGTGATGCCGCAGCCTGTGTCTGTGGGTGGCCAGCCTCCCTGATGTCCCCTGCCTGAGTTTTTAATTAGTGACTTTAGCTCACGGGTCAGAAAAAACCTTCCTCCCAACAGACCCCCTGCTAGGCCTGCTGCCACCGCGGGTCACAGTTGCGGCCGTGACGGCAGGGCTTGGCCGAGCTGGGGCGCGGACGCACGTCCACATCACAGCCCAGAAAACGCGTCCCAAAAGCCACTGAGGGCACACGCTCTGTGCGTGGCTCTTGGAATACACCAGTGATTATATAACATGGAGCAAACTAGTTCAAATGACAAGTATGTTAAACAGAGTACCTGGCAAATAGCACAAAAATGTGCATGTCCATTTGTGTTCACTCACACAGAAACTAGTTCTGGGAGTTCTGAGAAGCAACAAAAACGGGCTCTGTCTGTACATGGCTCGAAAGGAATTTTTGAGGCGATCACCAAAAAAATGAATTTTCAAAGGAGCATATTGTTTTCCCTTTATGCTGATGAGTAAATCTGGTAAGTGTTAGCAGATGTGCACGGTCCTTTTTTGGCTGTCCAAAGGAAAACGGCACTAACCATACCTTGCTTTCGACATTTAACACTCTCAGATTCAAACTGAAGACAAAGGAAGATTCCAGAAAACTAAGGCAATGTTTTGTTTACGAATCACATCTTCAAGCAACTCACTGTGGGTTCTTTAGGGACAATTCTTCTAGGACACACTACATGATGGCAGCGATGGATTCACAGTTCCTTACAACCAGAGGGGCCTGCATGGGAAAGACAGCCCGGGGCCCCGGCGGACACGCACAGCCGGATACGCGGGCCTTTGCCAGTGCCTCACGGACGCCTGGGAGAGGCGGAGCCCACACAGAGTCACCCTGTGCTCGCAGCGCTCCTGTGCGCAGGCCGCTCGTCCACCACGGCACGCGCGCTCTCACGTTTCCAGGCCGCCCCTGTTTCTCTGGAGTCCCACACGCGAAATGAGACGCTGAGGGGGGTCTTCTCCTCCTCACTTTCCTAACTGTTTGAACTTTGCTCGTCTGTGATATGAGAAGCTGAGTGAAGCCTTGAACTTTGTTTTACGTTTCTTCATCTGATTCCAACGGCACTCGGGCCTCAGTCCCAAGGGCTGTCGGTAAATAGCGAGCCAGGAAGCCTCAGAGTTCCTGGGGCCGAGGCTCCCGGGTCCAGCACGGGGTTCTCTAGCGCCCAAGCACACGGGCTGAAAGCGACCTGGTAACTATCTCCTGCGCCTTGTAATGTGGGTGACCATTCCCATCACGTCAGGCCTAGCAGAACGGGACTGTGAGACAGCGTGTCTGACCAGCGTCCACAGAGCACGTTTAGAAGGAGGGAGCGCGCCCTCGCTACTCGAAGTCCCATCAGAGGCTGTCTCCACTCTGGTTTAGGAAACTCTCCCTGAGGGAAACGGGCCAGACGTCCCAGCTGGAGAGGGAAAGCGCTTCGCTCTGAGCACGCGAGTGCACACAGCGCTTGGAGTGCCTGCCTCCGGGCACAGCCACTCTGACCAGTGCGTGGGTGGCACTCGCCTGCAGGTCCCGGCGGACCGTGCCCACCTGATGGCAATGCAGGGCGGCCTCCAGGGCCTGCTGAGTGCAACGACTGCATGCAAACACCAGGGGCAGCAACAGTCCCAAGCCGCACAGAGACCAGGGTGGCGCCGCAGCAGACAGCTGGCGGTGCGGGGACACGTGCCAGAATGGACACATTGCTCCTGTAGAGTGACCGCTGCCTCAGAACAGGCAGGGTCCTGCCAGCTGAGAGCCTGGCTATGGGTCTGCTTGCTCTGAAGAAGCCGCCTCAATGACCCTTCCCTTACTCCTGGAGCTCTCTTCCAAGCACTCGCAGGAAGTAAACGAGGACACAAATACAATTCTAGAGCCGCTGCACCCTGCCCTCCTGCCCCCAGAAGTGGCTGCCCATTCTCTCCTGTGCTTTTCTAAGTATCCCTCAGAAATCGCCACCTGAGCAGCCGGGCCCGGGTCAGGCCCGGTCAGAGCCACCACTGGCCCGGCCGCTCTGTGTGCGGCGTGGCGACCCCCGGCCTGAGCGCTCGGCGGACTCAGGGGCGACGTGTGGCCAGTTTCTCTGCCTCGGCCACCACGGTCCCAGGAAAGAAGGGGAGCTCAGTCTGCAGGCGACACACTTCACAGGCCAGGCCTCCAGGCAAACACAAGACCTTTGGGAAAACCTGCCCCCAAACCGCCTGGTGGGTCACTGTTTGGACACGGGACAGGTGTGTCCAGCACCGCCCTCCCCTTGTCACTGTGATGTGTGTTTGGCCTGCAGACAAGCAGCTGAAGAAGCCTCATGCGTTGTCACATAGCCAGCCAGCCAGTGCAGCGAAGGATGGGAGCAGCAAGGGACCCGTTTCCAGTGCCCGCCCTCTTCCCTTCCCGGAACACAGCCGCCCCTTCGATGCAGAGGTGTGGGCTCCGATACTGACCTTCAGGTCCCTGTGAACTATGCCGTTGAGGTGACAATGGTTTACACTCTCTAGAATCTGCTGTATACAATGGCTGCAAAGACACAAGAGCAAAAGGGAGGGACAGAGCGGTAGGGCACGTGACCGTTCATTGCATAAACACAGAAATGACACCTTTCCCATTGTTTGGCTTAGCACCCTGATTAAACAACGCCGGATAAAGCTGATCCTGGCGCTGACAAAAACGATACCCCGCAGAGTCTGTGATGAGCCCACACAGAGCAGCGCGGGCTGTGTTTTGTCCAGCACAAGTCGGCAACTCCATCCCTGGCGGGCAGAGGCCCAGGTTTCTGTTTCAGGGAGGAGAAGGCGCACCCGTTTCCCCTCATGTTCTGGGAAAACCCCCCGAGATGGAAAACGTGTGGGTATGTGTCACACACACCCAAACTGTTCACAACCTGCGGTCGCAAATAAGCACAGGTGTGGAAACAAGAGGAAGAAGTGGCAGGAGAAACAAGGGCCAGAGGGACACGGCTGCCTGCTGACACGGAAACGCTGTCTCGTGTGTAACATGTCAGTAGGGAAAGCGACGGTGGCCCCAGCAATAGGGAGAGTTCCAACAGGGAGCCCACCGCGTGCATCGACCCTCTGCAGTCAGGCTGGACTCTGGGGAAGGGCTGGCTACGGATGGAAATGAACCCGCACAATTTAAGGCCCCGGAGTCCGTCCCCATACATGTCTGCTCACCGCCTGCGGAGCTACTCCTCCTACAGGACGGCCGGGGTCAAACCGACCACCCATGAACCCGGAGGGGGCCGCTGGCTGGCAGCTGCGCGCCCTGCCGTCTGGCTGTGCGAGGGGCGTCCACTGCGCCCTGCGCCCGCGGGGCTCAACGCAGGCGCCCACAGCGGCAGGGACGCGCTCCCCGGTGAGGCGGACAGCTCGGTCGGGACACGCTCGCCCTGAGTGTGCAAACAACAGGACTCCACAGTGAGCCCTTGAGTGAAAAGAGTAATCACCTCTGATCTGTACAACACAAATGTCAAAAACCGCTCAAGATGGAGATTCTCGGAATGGAAATCTGTCGAGAGACCAAACGAGAGCCTCGTGCTGGCTGTTCTGCCGCACAGCTTATCGCGGTGCCGGCAAGGATCTTAAGTCATGTGACACTTCCCCTTCTGTAATAGCATTTGCTTTGTCCTGTTTTTTACGAATTCCACTCCTTTTCTCCAACCACAGGCAGAGGTCACTGAGCTTAATGAAAACAGAAAGTAAAGAAGTAAAAACCAATTCATGCTAAATGCCTGTCACCACATTGTACTAGTGAGAATGGACCGAATTCTCAGCTTCTTGAGGGGCCAAAACCAAAGTGGACGTTGGCAAAGTACTGGCAGAACCTGCTCTTTACGCTTGTGGTTGGGAAGGGGATGTGTCCCCTTCACTCTGTGCGGGACTGGCCCTAAAAGCTCCCTGCTGTGAACCCCCAGGCTGTCAGCAAGCCCCCCGGGCCGCCTGTCGTCTGTGGGCTCCTCAGCAGGGAAGGAGCCTCCACTTCAACGTCAAGGGGGCTCTCGACCACAGCCCCAGCCTGGCGGCGGCCCCGCACACGGCCTGGCAGAGGGCCCCTCGCCCGCGAGCGCGCAGCGTTCTCTCTCGGCGGCCCCGGGGGGGCCTGGGGGAGCAGAGCTGATGAGCAGTCGCTCGTGGCAGTGCAAGCGACGCGGAGCTTTCTGACTTTGGCGGTAAAAATTCCGCTAGGAAGTCAGAGCTTAGTCACGCACAGAGATGCCACCAGCAAGGCCCCAGACCAGAGCATGACCGAGAGACTCGGGGGAGCCGCGCAGGTGCCAGCGCCGCCACAGGCGGGCCCGCAGGTGGGCCTGAGCAAGCCCGCAGGCGTCCCGTTCTCGTGGCCAACAGTGAGCCCGGCTCCCCGCCAGCTTTCAGAGCAAGCGCCAGCTACAGGGTTCGCAGGAGGGTGCGGGGAGTGTGCGCGCCGCCCCCCGCTCGCCGTCTCAGCGCTCCCGCAGCGCGGAGTCGAGCGCTGGCTCGCTCCAAAGCCTCACCTTCCTGCCGCCTCGGGGGCCTCACACTAGACCGAGCACCAGCTGCCTTCGCCGCACGCAGACCTGACCCACTGATGGGACTGGAGACTCTCCCGAGCCCTCTGACAGACCCGAACGTTTCTCAAACGAGGTTCCAGGGCTGTACGGATGCTAATGATGCCCTGCGGTGCCCTGGGGGCCACCGTCATCTGTCTCTGCGGGGGGACAGGTGCTCAGGACCTGCCCCCCAGGCACAGCCGCTGATCACTGGAAACGTGGCAGCTGCGACCCAGGAAAGAACTTGTAATTGTATTTACTTCTAATTAATTGATGAGGAAATTGAAGAGCCTATGTGACTCCTGGCATACGGAACTAGGGACCAGTGGATGCTGACCTTGGATCTCTCACATTTTCTGAAAGAGTTTACGTCTTCAGTAGAAGTCATTTCGGTTAGGCTTTATTAAAATAAAGTATGTACTCTGACTACCGACACTAGATACTAAGAAGCTTTAGACCAGACTCATAGATTTCTTTTCAAAGAACCGTCCGGGAAACCCCGAGGAGAAAAAGCATCGGTCTTCATGAGGGAAGGCGTAGCTGGCGCTGTGCGCCCCACAGTGGCAGGCAGGCCCGCGCAGCTGTGTGGGGCGGGGGCAGGTGTCGCAGGCGCCGGCCACTCACCTGGCGTCAGCCTCGCTGTAGTATTCTCTCGCCACAATGTCTTCAAACAGTTCGCCCCCAGTAACTCTGTGAAAGACGAGAAAATCAGACATACATGGATTTGTACCTGTGCTCATATAGAATTTTTGTTTTCAGTTTATTTTAAAAACCATTATTGAAACGTGTGTTTTAAAACACTGTAAGGATGACAGTTTCCTAACAGTCAGCTTATGGAATGCACGCACTTCCATCTTGTCTGCAGGCCCTACTATGACCAGACCCTGAGGACACGGTGTTCCTTATGCCATGAACACATTCCAAGACTGATGGGCAGAAAAGGGTCTCCGGGAAGCGCTCCACTGGGGTTCCCCGAGGAACAGGTGAGGTGCTGGGGGCAGGGCCTTTCCTCAGCAGGCGGAGCAGGCCTGCCTGTGCAGGCAGCAGAGGTCCTCAGGCCATGCTTCTCTGGAGGCTCCTTGTCACTTGGGACAGACGTGTCCTGGAGGGCCAGAGGCAGCTGTGCAAACCCACGGCCCCGGCCTGAGAGCCTGTCTGCCCTGACAGCACCCAGTCTCCTCGACGTCTTGCGGACCTGCCAGGGAAGGGAGGCTCAGGGCTCCTGGCAACGTCCTGGCGGGCGTGGTGACCCCGGCCACCAGGAGGAGTGGGGCCCACCACGCCCGCCAGGGGGGTCTGACTCTCTGGGTGCTTATCCACACTGCGGTTGGGCCCTCCACAGGACATGTGGCTGTCGTGGGAGGCCACCTCTCGTCCAGGTCCAAAGGCGGCGCTGGTCTGGGGCTGGCATGCCCTGACCAGCGAGTCTCTGGCTTAGGCTTTTTCCTTCCCTCTAAAATAACGTGTTTTAAAATTTCAAAGTAATATAGTTCTGTAGTAAAATTCCAAAAATAAGGATGTGTACCAAGCACTCCCCTGTCTCTCGACCTCAGCTGCACTCTGCAACAAACCAAGTATGTGTGTCCTTTCAACTTCCTGTGCATCTTTAAACATTTATACTTCTCCCCCTGAAGGAGGACCGTGCAATATGCATGAAATGACTAGGCCACTGTGAGGCCTGTCCTTCCACATCGTCACGGGCACGGCGCACGCCAGAGCCGCCTTCTCTGTTTGGAATAAGTAACAGACACTTGTGCATGCTCCCCCCATAGACATCTGCCAATTGCACAGTGTTTCTAGAGGAGAGAGTCTCCGACCTAACAGTGGCGGGTTAAAGAGCATCCGCGTTTAAAATCCGGGGGCAACCCCCCCACCCAAATCACCGTCAAGGTGCTGACCGGCCACGTCCTCACTCATGATGGCTCTCAGCGACAAGCACTGTGCTGACCTAACTGGGAAGAATTATCTCATGTTAATGTGAATCACTGACATTAGGGAAGAGGCCCTCTTCCTCTGCGGGGAAGGTCTGCGCCGCGCTCACTGTGCTTGGGGACACTGGACCTCTGTCGCCGTCATTTAAACAGTGGCGAGACCACGTGAGCAGTGGCTGCTCAGGTCCCACACGATCAGCCCGCAGACACGCAGCAGACGCCTGGCGCCCAGCCAGGACCCCGCGGCGTCACCTGGCTCTCCGGCCGTGCTGATGGAGAGGCTCGGCCACTGCGCCCGACCTCTGTCCCTCGGGGCGGCGCTGCACAGGCAGAGCCCGGAGCTCCGAACGCCCCCTCGCTCCGCCCGTGCAGGCCACGCCGGCCCGCGAGCCCAGGCAGGACAGCCGAGAGCACAGCCCCCGCGCGCGGCTGTGCGCTCCGCCGCTCCCACGCGTCAGAGCTGCGTCCTGGCTCGCGAGCGGAGATGCTGCTTTTCCCTCTCAGCACCAAGCCGTCACTACGCGGCCCTTCCACGTGTGCCCGCAGTGCACGGAGTTAGTGAGGCCGAGGAGGCTCTGGCCGTAGAGGCGCTGACCAACGGCCTCGCCTCGGGCGGACTCCCGGAGGACGACGCCTCGGGAAGACGGCGGGGACCCCGCCAGCTCTCCGCTCTGGTGAATGCTACACGCGCCCCCAACTGGAGGGCACTGGAGGCGACTCCAGCCTCCCTCGCATTCACCGTGGTGGGAGTGAGGACTCGGAAGGTCCTTACGGTCCCTTCCACCAAGAAGCCCCTCCACCGACTGCGCGTGGCGGGGTCCGTGCGCGGCTGAGGGGGCAGGAAAGCAGCAGCGCCCCCTGCGGGCTCCTCAGCGCAGGACTCACAGCCCCGGCGCAGGCCACGCCCACAGCGCCCTCACCAGGAGGCGGGGCGTCGACTGTTCCTGGGCGGGCGCTCTGCGCATCTCTTCGAGTCCCCAGAACTGCCCGGGTCTCCCCGCCCTCGCCCTCGCCCTCACCCACGGCCACGGCCGTGGTGTGATCACGAGTCCCCCGACACCGCCACTGACGCCGGCGAGAGGACCTTCGACAGCGCTGCCCGCCTGGGCCCCAGCCTGTGCCCTCGGTGTGCAGCGCTCGCTCTGCCTCCCAGGCCCCGGGTCCCGGGACTGACCGCGTGTCCCATCACGCGGCTCTTCAGCGTAGGGCAGCTGGGAGTTTTCTGGGGGTTCCCTGGTGTGCACGGCACTGCCTTCTCACTGAGCTCTAGCGGCTTCGGCTCTTGTTCGTGTAAGTGCTGGACACAGCGTTTCCCTCCTGTGTCCAGGCGCCGGGCATCTCGGTTACGCCGCCTGCCTGCGCTCAGGGGCGCCCGTGCTGCGTCTCTCCCGCCGCCCCGCCCCGCCCCCGGCTGAGGGCGCGCTACGGCCGTCGCAGCCCCACCGTCCGTCCGTCCGTCCGTCCGTCCCTGGAGGAGAGGTGGGCTTGCGGGGGCGCATCCTTAGGATCCCTGGCGCTCCTCTGCCCAGGCCCCCCGTTCCCACGGAGGCACGTGGGCGCTGCCTGCTCCCGCCCGTCTCCCGCCCAGGCCCCCGCCGCTAACACTCCTGGGTCCGGGGTGCAAAGAGGAGGACCGCTGAGTCCGTTTCTCGACAGATCTGGGCATTTCTGAGTCGCCCGCACTGGGCGACATCTGCGGAGTAACTGCAAGGACACAGGGACCCCAGAGGCCTGTGTTTCACACCGGACACAGGCTTCCCAATGCACTGCTTTAAGTTAGGCCCCCGCCCTGAGTTGGTCCATGTTAACTTAAAAAAAATAAAAGTCTTAGCCGGTTTTGTTCAGTTGGTAGGTACTGAGGGGAGGGGGGCCGCTAGATTTTAAGATTCAGTTTCACTGTGAAATCGTAAACCAGAAATTCTCGAGGCTTTACAGGAAGGATGTCCCCAGCGCCGGACAGCGCCGGACAGCGCCGGCAGCCGCCTGCCTCGCCAGCTCGGCGCCCGTGCCCGCTCGGCGCCGGTGCCCGCTCTCCTTCCGCCGGTTCTATCCGAGGGCCGCGGAACAGTCCTCCAACCTGCCTGCCTCCGACTCCGCCGCGTGCCCTGACGCTGCGCCGGCCGCTGTGGGCCCCTGGGCCTGGGTCTTTGCTTGGGGAACATTCTCTGATGCCAGTGAACCAGCGGCAAGAACACACACACGGCATCGAATAGAAACAGGAATGGTCTTTCACAGCGTGTTCATTAAATTGCTATACTACGTCAACATTTTAAACATACCATAAAGGTAGTATGACACAGTTAGTACTGGTTCTTTAAGACCCTGTTTGCTTAAACCTGAGTGTAACTATTTCTCCACAGAATCAAAAAATAATTAAAATCTAAAAATGACCCCACATTCTGTCCTCAGCTCAGACATTGACACGCTGTTTCTTGCGGTTCCAGGATCAGACCTCCGCCGCCGGTCTACTTGGGCTCGAACTCACAGCTGTGGGCTGCGAGTAGCCAGGCAACCCAGGTAGACTCCCTGCCCGAGGAGCGGTGCCACCGCCTGGCCGTGAGGACCAAGTCCAATCAGGCAGCCAGAGTCAAGGACGGACATCGTCAGCACTCGACTCAAGGTGACTGTAATTAATTTTTAAAGATACAGCCAGTCTCCAGAATGAAGGCTGTGTTTTCATTTTCTTTTAAAAAAATCTATCAGTCATCAAAACCTCGGTGTGAAAGTAGAGGTAAGATGTTTTCCTCACAAAGAGGACAATTTTATTAACAGAAGGAGCTAGAACCAACCACCATGACTCTTGTTTACCTTCCTGTATGTGAATAATTTTCTAAGAAAAAAAATAAAAAGGCCGAGTCAAGCGCCAGATTCTTACTTAGAAGGGACCTGATGGGAAGAAAACAAAGTCCTGAGATCTCGATGACCGCCAAGCTGACGGACGCAGCTCCAGCTTTTGCCCAGTTCTGCGCTCTCCCCGTCTACGAGAGCCCTGTGTTTCAGGAGTAACAGGTGACGCTATCAAAAATCTGGTGCTGACCTAAATTTGGGTAGAAACCCTCCGATGTTGCTGGGTAACTTCTGAGTTCTCTATCTGAAAAACGAACCCACGCTGGCCCTGCTAAGTAGAGGTCCAGGGGAGCAATGCCAGCGCAGTCACCAGCCGGCTCAGCCCAGCCCCTGAGCAAGCGGGGCGTCCTCGAGGCCCCCCGCCACCCCCTCGGCACGGACCTGTTCGGCCGGTGTTACCGCTTCTCCAAGGGCAGAAATTCTCCCCTGCCCGCAGCTTTCAGGGAGTGGGTTTTGACGCCGACCCCAAATCTACGAGAACTCGGGGCTTTAGCGTGCTCCTGGTTCCCACGCCAGGCCGGCCTGGCTGCGGTGAGCTGGGTGTCCACACCCAACGCGACAGGCCACACCCAGCGGGCGGAGCTCAGCGACATGCAGGTGGCTCGCTCTGGCATGTCGGTGGGGTTCAGGCTCCAAGAGCAGGGCGCGGGCGGGCCAGGCAGGAAGGGTGCATGTGACCAACAGAGCGGCCGGCCCAGGGGTCCTGCGTCTGCCCGTGTGCACGCACGGCCACGTCCCCGGCACGCGCGCCCGAGGGGAAGCGTCCCTGTCACTCGCTCATGCTGCCCCCTCACCCAGGAGCTTCCGTTCAAACCCTTGGCCTTCGAGGAAAAACAAAATCGCATACATCGATGCTGACACTTGAGTGAATGAATTATGTGAAAACCAGAAAACAGGACCTGTCATTTAAAT